CTTGGCAGGATTATGATCGCGTATGTTGCGGTAGCACCACACGAGACTCTGCAGCAAAACCAAATACGACGAGGTAATGAGGTCGGGTGCGCCAGGCTCGTCAGGATTGGCAGGAACGGCAGCGTGGATGGGCAACAGACCAAGAGGACCTGTGGGTATCCACCACACGCGTGGCAGAGAGCCTAAGCGCAGGGTGGACAACACCGCCAAAATCGGCGCAACAATATCCCTCCATAGCTCATTGATGATTGTACGGATGAGGCGTTCTAGGTACTGTGTGCCGAGCTGGTCCTTTGGTACGCTGACAGCTTTGTGCAGCACGAGAGCTATACTCTTCAGACGATCGCGCGAGGTGCCCGGTAGTGGTACATGTCGGACCGGGTGCTTCTGAGTCACGATGAGCGCAGAGCAGCCGAATTTGCTAGCGACCAGGAAAATGGGAGTGCCACCATGAAATACGGGTTCGCGCAACTCTTCAAATGTCATTGGTTGCAAGAAATTGAAGAACCCGTCGATCTGTCGTATTCGTGCAACAAGACTGTCCCACCGCTCGGCAAGATGTCTACGATTGCGAATGCCCGTCAAAGCATCGTCCCCCGTTTGAGTGTCTATTTCAAGAGAACGTCCAATTTGCCGCAGTTCGGCGGCGAGCTCTGGATGATGACGTAAAAGATTTTGATTTTGTGAAAGGAGCGAGACTTGCTGCTGCCAAAATACTGCACGTCCTTGTTCTAGAAGAACCACCGCCTGTTCGTATTGCCCCAAGGAGCAGGCACATGCTGCGGCGTCGCAAGCCAGCGGAGACGCTCCAGACAAAAGCTCCCTGAAAAGGGACACGTGATCCATGCCTAACCACGCGAGCCGTGGTAACAGGTCGGTGGCAATGACATACGCACGCAGTGCAGTCTCAAGTCGATCAACACGATGAGCTAGGGAGGCGAAAGCCGTGCAGGCTCGGAACCGATGCCTGACAACACTGGCTGAATCAACGGTTGCACTGCGGTAGTTATCAAGCGCCTTCTGAAGGTCTGTCTCGTTTTCTAGTCGTTCATACCGGAGAGCATATAGATCGCCCAAATGCCCCACGAAGTCTGCACGCAAAGAATGCCCACGAGGAACCATGTCGGTGCATCGTTCAGCGTAAACTATGGCCTGCTGAAGGTCTTCTATCGAGCGTTGAATTTCTGCCCGAGTGCCAAAACCTCCTGCGAGTAGATGCATGGCTTGCGTCTTATCAATCAGGGCACTGCCATGATGATCAAGAACACGGCGACACCAAGCTACTCCCTCTTCGAAGTCGTGCCCTTCCCCAAGCTCTCGGTAACGGCAAAAGTGCATGTCTCCAAGGACCGACCAAGTATCGGAGGGTTGCATTGTATGCCACGCGACGTCGCTCCGGGGAATAGTCTCTAGTGTTTTCATTAAGGCATAGTCCAAGTCTTCCAACCGTTTACTTCGTTTATAGCGTTCAAAGCACGACCGATAATGAGCCAGGGCGGTTTCATGTTCTCGGGTCCCCTGCAGAGGTGAGTCTTCCGACATCACTGCGTAACGTATCAATTCGTCCAGGTCTCTTTCATCTCCGTGCCAGTGAAATCGAGCAAAGAAGGCGTATACGATGTAGTGTCGGGCGAATTGGATATTATCGATTGCTTTCGCCGTGATGCCGTCTGCAATGGGTCGGAGCATATCGATGGCCGTGTCTACGTCGTCAGGCTGGCCATACTGTTCGAACCGTCGAATCATCCAGCGGCAGAGCCCGGTCTCACAGATAGGCCTGTGATGCAATTCTGGTGTCTGCGCTGATATGCGAGCCCACCACATTGCCTCCTCTAGGTCCTCCTTCCTCCCATCTCTCGATGTTTTCAGGTCGCTTACATTGCTGATGGCTTGGGCCACCATGTACCGGCGTCGGTAGCCATCGGGTGTGGCCCGAAATGCTCGTTCTCCGATCGCTATCGCATCTTCCGCGACTTTGTCGGGAGGCATGTACCAAAGATACAGCCGACATCGGTTTTGGGCGTAGGCAGCGTAGTGGATGTGAGTTGGAGGGGTCGCTTGAAGGGCTCTCTCAGCCGCGTCCTGTGCTTCTAGCACGTCGCGCTGACTAGGACGGTGAGCATTGCGGTATTTGGCATATAGTACGCGAGACAGAGTGTCTTGCAACATTGGCTCGGCGGATTGTGGATGACGCTCTGATAGACCTCTTCTAGCCACTTGTTCAGCTTTGGCGACAAGGTCTTCCCCAGCATTAGCGTGATACAGTACAATCAATGCCAAAGCAAGACGTAGGTTCGCCAGCCATTGATCTTCTTGACAAGTATGATTGACCACCTCGTTCAGAAGGTCAACTGAAGCTACGATGTCGGGTCCGTGGCCAGTGCGAAGGTATCGCATGTACCAACCCCAACCCTTCAACGATTTCCCACTCTGTTTCAGATGGTGATCGAGGTCCCCTCTCACCACCTGGTCTGCGAGGGCGACGCCATCCTCTAGGTCTTGAAAATGGGCGTTGGTGTTTCTGTATCTGCAAATGAGAGCAGATGCTAAGAGGTATTTTCGCTGGGGCAAGGACGGATGATTTTGGGGCGTGTGTTCAACCGCTCGTCGGAATCCATCGATGGACTCGTCTATGTACTGTTTGCGACTGGTGCGAATAAATGCATGGTAGTTGTGTGTGGCATTTTCGAGTGTCTCGTGATTTGGGGAGCCTGGAGTTGTATCGAAGGTCGACAGAACCGTCGAAGTTATGCGCAAGTCGGCTAGTGATGGGGGAATAGGTTCACTGTCTCTGGTGGTTCCTGTTGTGATGCTGCCACTCGGGGCACCGATCCGCAGAGTCTCGGCTCCCACCTGCTGACTAGGATGTGTAAACGACAGATCTTGATCTGAAAAAAAAAGGAAAAAAGAAAGAGAGAAAGATCAGATCCCACACAACCTGTATATACTTTGAAGGATGGCTTGCCTCTGTAGATCTCCTTTTCTTGTTCGGGAGGTCGGATCTCCTCGTCAGGTTGGCCCATCAAACGTGGCTGAGGAAACAGTAGATATTTTTGAGATAGAATATCTGGGATTTGAATGTGGTTGGTTCCGCTGCAATTCAATCGAAGGCAATACTTGTAGTTGCTGGCTTAGGGTGATCCTTCCTTTGTAGGAATTTGGCATTGCATTAGATCTTCCAGATGTATATCAAACTCCTCTCATTTTTTCTTGCGGCATGTTACTCCCGGAGATAAGCGATGGCCGTCCCCCTGGTGGTAGGTGCTGGAAGGTCGGAAAACTTCGGAGGCAGGTTGCGGAGAACAACTCGCAGGTATGTAGGCGGAGAAATCTCACTATGACATCAGGGTACCTATGAGTGAGCGCCATGGCACTAGAAAGAGGAGAACGCGCGCTTACTATCGTTCACGGGACAGCACAGCATAGACACACGCCTGGTCAGACCGGGCGCGACGTTTCTCACGAGGATTGGCAGAGCCTTCAAGGGGTATTGCGTCGTGAGTCAATATCTAACACGTAAGCTTAGTCCAATTGGAAATGGTGTCCTGGAGAACCTGCTGTGTATGTCCCCCCGCTCCTACCGATCCTTAGCTGCACGAAAATGACATAGCTGGTGATGTAAACCCTTTGCAACTTCGGGACCAGAATCCTTAAGTGTGGAATGCTGTGTGCCTTCCATAAGCCCGTCAGCAAATTTTACCCACGTATTCTGCGCCCACTAATTCCCGCTGACAAGCCTTGCTCAGAGACATGATCAAGATTCTGACGATGACTTACTCATGGAGAAGGATCAGTCTTTCCGTGCTCATTATCGGACCAGGCCTACACCGTCATTACAGTGCTTTGAGGTAACGTCCGCGGATTCCGGAGGATGTGGAGGAGGCATGGATTTGTCGGCCCCCAGGGAGGGAAGCACGTTGGCAGTACCCGGTCTCCTGGCGGAACCCTACTCGAAAACCCCATATCTCTCACGCATCGTCATCGTAAGAGGCAGATATTGTACATCAGTGGAGGAGTTGGCACAAGGGACTGGAGGATATAAATGGAAACGGAAACAATTCGATGAAGAGCGTTTGATTAGCCGCGGCGGACCCTACGGCGCGATACTCTCTCCAACCACCACCTGCGTGCTGTAGCGTTCATGCATCACCCATCTACCACATGTTCACAGCTATTGTATATTGCCACCAGGAATCGACAAACACCAGAAGATACTAGAACTAGATGGGCGGCGACACAAATCAGTGCGACAACAGGCCCCTTGAAGAGATTCAGTCAGAGCTTGAGGTGCGGGAAATGAATTCGGACCACCCAGGGTCGATATGCTCAACCAACTCGCTTTTGTAGGCGACCTTTTGCCCTCCTTTGGACCCCGCCTTGATCGCGGCTCTTGTTTCCGAGCTTGATCCACATCCTGGCTCAGATGCATTGGAGTCACTTCGCTTATCGTTGAGTGATTTGGCGGTGGAAGCTTCTGTTGCTAGGGCCTTGGATGATCGGACCACTTTACCCTCTGACTTGGACGAGCTCTCCGTTGACGAAGAGTCCGCTTTGTCTGGAAGTCAAACCTCAGCCTCGCTTCTACGCGAAGCTGGAAACTTTACCCCCGGCACGTCAGAGCAATCCTCGGACACTGGTGCTTTCGAGACACCGCTGGGGTTTCTACGGATCGTATTTCCGAATTTATCCATCCCCACTTTGAAGCAGGCAATCGAACTCACGTATGATCCTGAAATTGCCATAACAGAGGCCACTGGGCTTGACATGGGGTTATTGGTGGAATCATTGCTCAGCGAAGAATTTCTACGCGAGGAAAAGGAACGGGCTTCCGAAGAAGTTGCTCTCAAAGAAATCGACACATCTCCCGACAACCACTGGACGATAGTGAAGAGCAAAACTAAGCGAAAATCACGGTCCGTGATCCATGACCCTTCTTCATCCTCTTTACCTCCCCCAAAGCCTCGCAAACCGAAGGCGGTTACCGTTCCGCTGGTAGACCTCTTGCAACGCCAGAAGGTTCCCGCACGTCGTCCCTCTGCTGACTTTGATGTCGCACCCGACCCGTGGAGCCATCTTGCTAGTCTGGCCAGTAGATTACGTCGCCTTGTTCCCAACATGGCAGAACGGAAGTGGCTAGCGCTCTTCCATAATGTAAGCGATCCTGCTAGCAGGTTCTTTGCACAATAATTGACAGTCTCACAAGCCGGCATACCCAACCCCTTCCCATGCGGTCCGTGCGGAGCTACAACGCCTTGCGCTGCTCAATCGCGAAGTACCCACACCAGAGACACTTGCATTTTTCCTTGAGGTTCTCGGTGCCAACGAAATAGATGAGTCCGAGCTGAGCAAGAAGCACGATGCAGGATTGTGCCTTCAAGCGTGCCGGAATAATGCCGAAGATGCGCTAGACCTCTTTCGGCTGTTGGAAGATATGGACTTAGCTAACGCAGCAGTCATTCATTCTGTGCCGTACGGTTCCTCCACGCCGAATCTTGGTATCAGTCAGCCAACTCCGGCAATTCTCACATCTTGGTCAGTGCCACAATCTTCGATATCATCGACACCTCCGAGTCCGCCGCTCGATATACAGGGAACAGGGGCCTGCGGACGACCGCAGAATGAATGGCAAACTATTGCCCCACGCAGACCCGCACCTGTGACCGAGCAACATCCCCTGGCCGCCCATATACCGGCGTATCGTATTGCTGAACTACAGAATGGAAGGAAACGCAAGGCCCCCCCATCTTTCAAGAGGAACACGGAGATAACACCTGCACCGCCTATCCCTTCAGGGTTGACTGAACTCGAGAAATGCAGATGGTGGATAAAGGAGCTTAGACGGCAGAGGAATGAAGCCGTGCGGGCTGCTGGGCGTCATTGGCGGGCCGGAACAGTTCAGGACCGGGGAGGCGATGTAGCGTTTTACTATGCGGAGGAAGGTCGCAAGCTTGAGGAGAAAAGTCGGGAATGGGCGCTCAAAGCTGCAAGGCTTCAGCTGCGCCAGAATCAGAAGTACGTACCACAAGCGCACCCCTTCTGACCAGTCGCTCTGATACTATGTACGGTGAAACAGGGATCCCAACACGATCGATCTTCACGGCTTTACCTTGCAGGAGGCATTGCATGTGGCCAGGGAGGCAGTGAATGCCTGGTACAGTTCATCTACCTCCGGATATGCTCCCAACCATTCATTTACCATCATCACTGGCCTTGGGAAGCATTCTGTTAATCAGCACAGTGTGCTTGGTCCCGCAGTGTTCAGGGCGTTACAGCAGGATGGGTGGAAGGTGATCAAGAGACCGGCCACCATCGTAGTAACCGGTGTGTCAAGAGGATAGGATATTCCTGTATGTTGTTGTATCTGTATGCGTTACTGTATCAAGAATAAGCTGTCACTGCTCGATGGTCAATGTGTGCGCATGTAGCATATGCATTTTACGTCCCTAGCTTTGCATGGAATACAGTAGGCTAGGCAGCACATAACACCAACTCGATAAGCTATGGAACCATGGGAGACACTGCACTCATACGGCCTCGCGCTGCTTCCTCCTCACATCGCGCTCCTCAGCGATGGACAGCTTGACACCCTTGCCCTTGGGCAGAGAGACCCATGGCTTGACGCCCTCACCAACGACGAAAATGTTACCTATCCTGCAGGGAATGAGGAACGGTGTAAGAGCGTGAGTAATGAATAGGTGCATACCGGGTAGCGAAGTCCCTGTCAAGAACATCCTTCACGTGGACGATGTCGAAGCCACCAATGTGCTTTTCCCTGTGTACAATGGTACCGACACGGCCCATGTTACGGCCACCAGTAATCACGGCAACATTGCCGGTGTCAAACTTGACAAAGTCCACGATCTTCCCAGTCTCAAGATCAAACTTGACGGTGTCGTTAACCTTGATCAGAGGGTCGGGGTAACGGATGGTGCGTCCATCGTGGGTCACGATGTATGGTACACCCTTAGCACCGATGGCAAGCTTCTTCACCTTGAGAAGCTTGTACGTAGCCTCCTCGGGGGTAATGCGGTGGATGGTGAAACGACCCTTGACATCGTAAAGGAGACGGAAGTGTTCGCCTGACTTCTCCAGGGTGATCACATCCATGAAGCCGGCGGGGTAGGTTGTATCCGTCCGCACTTTGCCATCAACCTTGATCAGGCGCTGCATGACGATCGAGTTGACCTCACGCCCGGTCAGAGCATATTTCAGACGATTGCGCAAGAAGATGACGAGGGGAAGGCATTCGCGGAGTTTGTGGGGACCAGGGGAAGGGCGAGGGGCCTGAAGAGGATTGTTAAAGCGCTTCTTCTACCCTTGAGCAAGGCACACTCACGTAGGTACCGGACAACTTGTCCAGCATCCACGAGCTGGGGGCGGCTAAACGCTTGAGATGCTTCTTCGGACCGCGACCCTACGAAACAGAAAGATCATCAGCATTATTCAAAGGATGAGTGTAGGCGAGTCGGTAGGAGACGTCTAACGTCCAAGGGGAACACCACTATGCCGGTCACCGCGTTCCATCCATCCAACATGCCATCCATCCATCCACCGCGCCCCTCGTCTTCAGCAACCGCTGAATCCCCATGATGCTCCCCCAGGGCGTCTTCCAGCCTATCAACACCGAAAACGAGGGGATATTCACCATTGTTGATACGTTGAGGATGTCGTAGAGGGAGGTGAGGACGACGGGGACGAGGTTTTCTGGCCCAGCACAAGCGGAACCAGATGTATGCACGACCCTTCTTCGGTGGCTATGTCCTTTTTCTCCGGAGCGGCTCCGAAGTCGCCACCCCAGTCATGCAAGACGGTGTGCATTGTCCGCTCTCTGTCGTGGACACTTTATACCCACTCCTGCACTAGTCTCTTTTCATTATGGCCCGGCGCAAGAGACAAATTCTTTCAGACGACGATTCTTCTGACGATTCCAGAGAAGAAGACGGCGATGACTTCAATCCTGGCGAGAACAACGATGAACGAGCCGAACGTGAGTTATTCCAGAACCCCTACGCTCGCAACAAGAAGCGAAAGCGACGTGATCTTGATAACGAAGATGATGAAGACGAAGGATTTGGTGGGTGCCAACCTGCGGCTAGAAAACGGTCGGACTGGACGAAGGCACCAAACTTTGTCAGTGGTGGTATCAAGACGGTAACTTTGGATGAGGCTGAAGGAATCGACTCAAGTGATGAAGTGACTGGAGAACCTGGACCACAGCATGAAGACGATGTCGACCACGACGAGGAGCTCGATGAGGAAGCCGAAGAAATCCCTCCGGGAGATGAAGAGGAAAGTGACCAGGATATGGATGTATCGGATGAAGACCAACCAGTTGCTGAGCCACGAATACGAGAACCCGAAGAAGACGAAGAAGCCAACCCTGCACGTTCAGGATTCAGTGCAGCGCGATCGATGATGTCTTCTTTCTCAACTACTGCGGGCACTTCGGCTGCTCCATCTTCTACAGCCGGCATCGGCGCTCGTGGTGGCATTGGTGCTGGTCGAGGTGGTATAACCTCTTCTGCTGCATCTTACGGTCTTCCAGCGGCATTTGGAGCCTCAACGCCGCCTGTTGAACGCTCCAAGCCTTCTTTTGTACGCTCAGCTCCTGTGACGGCACCTGGCACTCCGACTCCCCCAAACCTCACAACCGCGGAAAGACGCCATTTCGACTCTCTCTCCAATACAATCGGTGCGAAGCTCATGGCGAAGATGGGTTGGCAGGCTGGTCAGGGTTTAGGTGCGGAGGGCAAGGGCATCGTGAATCCAATTGAGACCAAAATGCGCCCAACGAAGAGTGGTATCGCATACCGTGGGTTCAAAGAGAAGACAGAACAAAGTAAGGCGGAGGCACGGAGGCGGGGTGAGCATGTAAGCGATGAGGAAGATCAGCGTCCTGCTATGGGTGGGATGCAAAGGGGAGAGAGAGCCGAGGTGTTGAGGAAGACAATGAAGAAAGGCAAAGTCAAGGTTGAGCATAAAACATATGAAGAGCTCATTCGGGAAGCTGGTGCCGATGAATCTGCCATGCTTCCAGATCTTGGTATCATTATCGATGCAACTGGACCGGAGATGCGGGAGGTTTCGCTTTCCGAAGCTTCTGCCTTCTGGGCGCCTACCGCTGATCAAACACCCCCACCTCAAGTGGATGAGACGAAGTTGGCACTTCAAGGGCTTGCTCGTGAAGGAAGGGCGTTGAACGAACGAGAGAAGTACCTTGCGGGTGAAGGAAAGCGACTCGGTTCTATGGTGCGGCAAGAAGCGGAAAGTACGTGCATTCCAATTTTTCGTAGCATATGATTGCTTACATGATTATAGTGATAGCGCGACTGGAGAGAATGCGTCTTCTCGTTGATCAACTCAATGAAGAGGCAAAGGAGATCACAGCCACCTATGAACCAAGTCTGGATCCATTCACGAAGTCGTTCGAGACAATTCTGAATGAATTCTCGACCGAGTCTGATAAGTTCGGCGTGGAGGAGGTTTTCGTTGGGGCGATGAGTCCAGTCATCAGGCGGATGGTCACGAACTGGGAACCTTTGTTACATCCGGAAGCGATCAGTCAACCCTTCTATCAATGGCGACGAGCGTTCCTGCTCCGCCCTTTTCAACCGCCCAATGAGCGCTTTTCCAACAAAGGGCAATCGGACGAGAACGCTTTACAAATGACGCCCTACGAGAGTCTTGTGTGGACAGTTTGGCTTCCCAAGGTTCGAATGAGCATCAATAACTCGTGGGACCCAATCGATCCAGACCCCGCCATCCACTTGTACAAGACCTGGGCACCGCTTCTGCCGGATTTCATTCAGGCCAACATCCTTGACCAGCTCCTCCTTCCTAAACTGTCGAAAGTAGTCGCAGACTGGGATTGGCGGAAATCCGTTCCTCTGCATTCCTTTGTATTTCCTTGGTTGGAATATCTCGACTTGCGATCCGAACAGCTACTAGAAGACTGTAAGAGGAAGATCAAATCTGTCCTCAAGACGTGGAACGTTAACGATGGGTTGTGGAAGCAAATCACCGCCTGGCGCGATGTGTTTGCTCCAGGAGATTGGGATAATATGCTACTCAAACTCATCGTGCCCAAACTCAGCGCCATTATGCGTGAAGATTTCAAGGTCAACCCCAGGGATCAGAAGATGGAACCACTTAACCGAGTTCTGGAATGGAAAGATGTGATCAGGCCCTCCGTCATGGGTCAGCTATTGGAGAAAGAATTATTCCCTAAATGGCTTAACGTTCTTCACTTTTGGCTTGTACAGCCCAAGACCAGCTTCGAAGATGTTGCACAATGGTACGTCGTTGTTATACGTATGGAATGTATTTCTCACTTTCGATCACAGGTATTCATTCTGGAAGGGCTACTTGCCGACGAGCGTCAGCAAACTCGAGCCGGTCGAACAAGGCTTTAATCGCGGCCTCCATTTGATGAATCTAGCAATTGAACTGGGCCCGAGTGTCGCTAAAGAGCTACCACGACCTGAGACGCTTGCTACAAAAAACGCCTCAAGGACTGGCGTCTCTACGACTCGCCCGCAAAATGGCACCCCAAAACACGCCGCTGCCCCGCTGGCCGCCGAAGTAACATTCCGTTCGATCGTGGAGGACTTTGTCGCGGCACACAATCTTTTGTTTATCCCTATTGGTCAGGTTCACGAGGTGTCGCGTATGCCGCTATATCGCGTATCCCCGAGTATCGATGGGAAAGGTGGAATCACAGCCTATTTGCTGGATGATGCAGTCTGGATGCAGGAAGGGGCAGATTGGAAGGCCGTTAGTTTAGAGGAGATGGTGCTCCGTGCCAATCGTGCCGGGGCGCGTCAGCGTTAGAGGAAATTACCATGGTGTAATACTATTGTTGTAGCCCTATTGTTGTAGGCCTGACAGAGGCAGTTTAGAGGGGACGACACCCAAAAACAAGGGAAGATCCAACATCAAGTGAGACATCGGGACACAGGTGTCATCGTTAAGGTATTCGTACTGCAATCCATTGCTACCATCTCACACGAGTACACGTTCACAATATCCACCCATCTTAGTCGCCCCTACCAAGTTTATCTAATGCTCGGATACCCTGCTCTTCCCACTCCTCCTTTGTGATCCAGAACTCCTCCCTTTGCTTCATGATATCTGCAAGGACGGCACCGCCCAAGAAAACCATGTGCTTTCGTCGAGGTGGATCCTCGATGCGGATCTTGAATTTCTGTTGGTCGGTCAGAAGAGGGTCATGGAAGAAAATAAACGAAGACGAACGTTTAGGCGCTCAGGGTTGCCGTTGAGGACGCGAGTCAGATACAACTGCTTCATCTCCTTCTCCAAGCGCGACGGTAAGCCTGGATACATCGACGAGCCTCCAGACAGGACGATGTGCTTGTATAATTCCGAGCGGACGTCGAGGGCCGCAGAGTTGATGGTCGTAAAAAGGAGCTCTGCCATGCCGGGCTGTTCGACATCGACCAGGCTAGGCTGGAACAGGCACTCAGGAGCCTCAAAGCGCTCGGAACCGACCTTGATTTGCCTACCATCCGGCAGCTGGTTCACAGGTCAGCGTGTACACATATCAGGAATGATGCGGTTTACAGTATAGTTCTCCACGAGCACGGTTGTCTCCTCAGCCAAGCGTTGGTCCAAATCCAAGTCATAGCTGACATAACATAGCTTCTCCTTTATCTGTCGCACTGTCTCAAAGTCCGCAGTTCGGTTGAATGCGTATCCCCGCATCAGCAGGAGCTTGATAAGATAGCGCGTGACGTCGCGGCCGGCAATATCGAGCCGCCGTGTGAGATGGGATAGAGCAAAGCCTTCGAACACGGGCACTATGTGCGTGACACCATCGCCGGAATCGACGACAACACCGGTGGTCAGACCTGGATCACGTTAAGCATGAGTAGCACGGCGAGAATAGACACGGACCTTGTGCGTAAAGCGTCAATACTGCCTGGATGGCGATGTACACTCCCTGGAACCCATACTCCTCAAACATAACCTGGCACATTCTTTGCCTGTTGACCTTGGGGTTCATAGGCGGCTCGGTGAGCAAGATCTTCCGCCCCCGGGGATCAACATGCATGACTTCGTTGAACGTGTAGTCCCAAAGGATCTTCATGTCGTCCCAGTTACGGATGATGCCGTGCTCCATGGGGTGGGAGATCTGGAGGTAGTTCCGGTTCTCAGCAGCCTCGTCGCCGACCATGATGTCCTTGATGACCGTCCCGCTCGCGCGCTCTTCTGCACGAAGGATGGGCCGTCCGACAATTGAAGGGAAGACTACAGGTATGTTAGATATGATCAAGTATTTACGGCATATGCGTACCATGCTCGGGGAAGTTAGACCCTGCATAACCGATCTTGACGAACTGGACTCCATGTCAACGCCCGCCCTTCTACTCCTCTACCCTGCGAGGAAAGCGTACCCCAGTTCCGTTATCAACAACCAAAGGAGGTGGAATATCCATTTTTATTCTCCGTATATGCAAGTTTCTAAATTCAAGTTGGAAGCGCAAAGGAAGGGTAATGGGAAATATAAGTGGCAGCACGTGCAGTTGAGCAGGAGAAGTGTACTGCGCTAGGAGAGCCAGTGATTGCTCCCGCGTCGCAAGGATATAGACGTCATCCCGGAGAGGTGGTCTCCACCAGTACTTGCACTGTTGGAGAGATTGTCGGTCGTCCTCGTCGCTCTCCCTTTCTGCCAGTCTAGTTTATACGTCTTTCCTGTACAATATGGCCGCGTCTTCTGCGAGGATACTGGAGCAGGTCAGGGCGATCATCCCACCGTTGTCCGCCAAACTACATAAAGGCCAAGCAGGTGAATGCGGTTGAACTGGACAAGGGGATTAATTGCTGAGCAGTCGCAGGACGTGTTGGCGTCGTGGGGGGTTCTGCTGAGTAAGTTTAGACGCTTAATGAGCTCGCACATAAGCTAAATCAATCTCAGTTACACGGGTGCACCGTTCTTCTCGTCGATGTCGGCTATGCTGCTTGTATGTACTCAGTGCAATATTCCTTAATGCGCTAAATTTCAATCAGGGTGCCGACCTCGCCCACGTTATATGCGAGCCGACAGCTGGGAACGTAATTAAGACATACTCCCCTGACCTAATCGTGCATCGCATACTGGACGAATCTCAGCCCGTGGAAAAGGTCGAGCCCATCTTCAAAGACATCGCCTCCCGTCTACACGTCCTCGTGATTGGCCCCGGCATGGGACGCTCAGATGCGAACCAGGCGTTTGGCAGGATGGCCCTGCGAGTGGCTAGGCAGCAGGGGATGTATGTCGTGTTGGATGCGGATGGACTGTGGATGGTGCAGATGGACCCGGAGGTGGTGAAAGGGTATTCCAAGGCGGTTTTAACACCAAACGTAATGGAATTCCAGCGGTTGTGTGATAAGCTGGTGAGCGCCATCTTCGATAGCCGTGAGGAAGTGACTGACGGTTGCGTAGGGAATCAGCCAGAGTGAGGGTGACCCCACACAGCTTTGTGCTAAAGTGTCGTTAGCGCTTGGGCGGGTTACTGTGCTGCAGAAAGGTCCTGAAGATATCATTTCAAACGGTGTGGAGTCTTGGACAGTGAATGAACAGGGTAGTTTAAAGCGGTGTGGTGGACAAGGTGACGTCCTGTCGGGATGTGTGGGGACTTTCCTTGCCTGGGCGAAGAATTTCGAGGAGGGCGAGTATACGTACGTGACGGCGTACGTTTCCTCATACCCACTAACCCGCCCATATAGTGAGAAGAAGCCTGACACGGATAGTCCGCACGTCTCCATCCTTGCCGCGTACGGCGCAGCAACCATCACGCGTACAGCCAGTCGTTTCGCTTTCGCATACAAGAAACGAGCCATGCAATCGAGTGACTTGCTCGACCATGTTGGTGACAGTTATGAGTATCATTTTGGAGAGGGAAGCAGCATCTTGGAGGAGATTAAAAAGCGAACTGGGAGATTGTGAGTGTTGTAGGACGGTCTGTAGAGTAAAAGGCGTGTATTAAGTAGAACAAAGCTCATCTTAGATATAGGCGTGTGGATGACCAAGACAAGAGCACAGCGCATGACATTGGATGAACCAAACCTACAATGATGATAATACAGGGATGCACAAACGACGGAAGAGAAGACTATCCATAAAACTACTTGTTGCTCATGTTGTACTGCTTCGTGTCTAATATCTTCTTCCCGCATATTGAGCACAAGCCTTTCCTGAATGCGCAGCCTGTTTAGACCATTAGCCAATACCCAACATAGACGACTAGCCAGGCGCACCATGACAGTACTTGGCCCCATTCTGCGTCACCGTACTCTTACAATCCTTGCACTTCCCTCCATAAGGCGTGAATCTCGTGTTCGCCAACGATCCCTTGGACTTGAGACTGCTTGGCCCAACGCCGGATGTGAGTAGCTTGTTCTCCCCGACTTTGCGACCTTGTGATGTGGAGGCGGAGAAGGGGTCGGGAGCGGCGAGCTTGGATAGTTTCTGAGTTGGACTGTTAGTGCTGAGACTGATAAATGAAGGGGTATGCACACCTTTTCGCACTTTGTACAAACCATGGATCCTGACTGAGAGAGGACGAGGAATGACCAGCGTTGCACTGTGGGCGCTTACGAGAAACGTGGTGGAGCACGGAAGTTGCCGAAGCCACTCGGAGCTGCGGAGTTTCCTCGCTTCTTAACCCTTCTCAAGGTGAACGGTGCACGTGCGAGGGGCGTGGATGAGGTCATGTCGGGTGGACCCTTTTCGTGGCAACTCCGTCTCCGGTGTCCCCGTATCCGTTGCCCCACTCAACCTTGGTTGCAGCCAGCATTCCCTGCTCGCATACAACCACTCCCTCTCTTCCCTACCCCTATTCAACCTCCACGAAACAGCAACGACCGTCATGTCTTACCAGGTTCAGATTATCGCGACGACCGCGTTCACGGACCAGAAGCCTGGTACGTCGGGGTTGAGGAAGCGGTGAGTCCGAGCGACGTGTATGCGGGCAAGAAAGCGACTGATAGCGAGCATATAGGGTCAAGATTTTCCAGGGACAGGTTCATCATTCGTGACAGGTCAAGATAGGTTGATGCTGACTGTTGAGTTACAGCACTACACCGAGAACTTCGTCCAAGCTATCCTCGATGCGATGCCCGATGGTGGTAAGGGTAAGACCCTCGTCATCGGCGGCGATGGTCGGTATTGGGCACGCGAGACCGTCCAAACCATCTTCCAGATCGGTGCCGCTGCCGGTGTCAAGAAGTTCATCGTCGGTCAGGATTCAATCCTTTCGACTCCCGCAGCTTCCAACATCATCCGGAAGTACAAGACGGACGGTGGTATTCTCCTGACCGCGTCCCATAATCCTGGTGGACCCAACGCCGATTTCGGTATCAAATTCAACACCGCCAACGGGGGACCGGCACCTGAGGCTGTCACGAACAAGATCTTTGAAATTACCAAGACTCTGAAGAGTTACAAGGTGGTGGATGCTGGCACTGTAGGTTGCGCCAAGCCAAGCGTATGTTCGCTGCTAATGAATTGTGTAGCTTGATATCACCAAGATAGGATCTTTCAAATATGGTCCGGTCGAAGTGGATATCATCGATTCTGTGAAGGATTATGTTGAGCTCATGGAGGGCATCTTTGATTTCCCCCTTATCTCCAAATTCGTCTCATCGACTCCCGAATTTACCGTTCTGTTCGATGCTCTGCACGGAGTTACTGGCCCATACGGCCGCGCCATTTTCGTCGATACGCTCAAGCTCTCGGAGAATGTCCTGCAGAACTGTGTTCCTCTCCCGGACTTCGGTGGCGGACATCCTGACCCCAACTTGACGTACGCCCATAACCTCGTTGCCGCCGTCGAGAAGAATAAGATTGTATTCGGTGCCGCATCTGATGGCGATGGTGACCGCAACATGATCTATGGCGCTGGCGCTTTCGTCACTCCCTCTGATAGTGTCGCCGTCATTGCCGACTGGGCGGACTCCATTCCCTACTTCAAGAAAGGTGGTGTGCATGGTGTCGCCCGTTCGATGCCGACCTCAAAGGCTATCGATGCCGTCGGCAAGGCCCACGGATGGGAATTCTTCGAAGTTCCCACCGGTTGGAAGTTCTTCGGTAACCTGATGGATGCTGGCCGTCTGTCCATCTGCGGTGAAGAGTCTTTCGGCACCGGTTCGGATCACGTTCGGGAGAAGGATGGCGTTTGGGCCATCGTTGCCTGGTTGAATATCCTCGCGGCTGCCAACGAAGGTCAGAAAAAGCTGGTGACGATCAACGATATCCTCGCGGCTCACTACAAGAAGTACGGACGCAACTTCTTCAGCCGGTAGGTTGATTCCCTTCGTTCAACCCTTTTCGGTCTAATAAAATCCCAGTTATGACTATGAAGAGGTGTCTTCTGAAGGCGCCAACGCGTTGATCGCCAACCTTGACTCTCTGTTCGCCTCTTCTGACTTCAAGGGGTCAAAGTACACCAGCACCGGACAGACCTTCGAGGTGTCCGATACCGTCAACTTCACCTACACTGATCCTGTCGATGCCTCCGTATCGAAGAACCAAGGTCATATCATTTCCTTCTCCGACGGGTCTCGTGTTGTCTTCCGCCTGTCCGGGACTGGCAGTCACGGTGCCACTGTACGCATGTACATCGAGAAGTACTCGAAGAACGAGGCCGAATACGGTAATTCGGCCGCAGACGGCCTGAAGCCTCTTATCGACGTTGCGTTGGAGATCACGCAGCTGCAGAAGTTCCTGGGCAGGGACGAGCCTACCGTTATCACCGTACGTGCTTGGTATCATTGCAGGTTATCGAAACGCTGATCACAATCGTAGTAATCGATCTTAAGATAATGACTGCAACGAGCCAAAGAATAAGTTTCATACAATGTACAAAAAGTAGCTCCATGATTGCGGAAAATCAAAGATGTCAAATTGTCCCTGAGCAAGTCGTCAATGAGTACACGCGCACCAGTGACGCGTCTGGGAAAACGCGTCGCGCTCGGCTTGACAGCTTGACACTCGACGGACTGTGTTATTCATTATATGCTCCAAACCCTCATTCTCACCATATGGGACCGTGCCTGTACTTGATCGTCTGTGGAGCCAAGCGAACATGCAGAGTACGCGTTGGGGATGCGTACGACCTGGTTGCCTCCTGAGAGCAGGACGCGTTATGTCACCAACTCTACCGTACCGAAGCTGAATGGCCCTCTTCAGCATACGATGATCCAGGCACATGTCTTGGTACCTTGGAGTGAGTGATCGGGTGCGATGGGTTGAGGGCGGGAATGTGCTTCTCCAACGCCGCAACATACATGTACCATCCCACGGCCGAACGCCTCCAAGCGCCGATCGCATCGACATTGGCTCCAAACACCTCATAATGTTCGCTCAACTGGATAGCTCGTCTCTTGCGCTGCTTGCGGGCCCTATTCCGTATTCCCACCTTCCATTCTCACATCACAAGCATGGCAGGTTCCAGCTTTCAACGTTGTTTCGTCGCTTCAATTGCTCTCCTGGCGCTGGTCGTCGGGTCCGCTGACGCAACAGAGATCATGCGCAGGCCGTCTAATTATCTCGGGAACGTCAAGTACATGGCACATGGGAGTCGTAGTGCGAAGATGAGGAGGCAAGTTACGTCCAGCTGCGTAGGCAAGCGGCCGAGTGGATATGTAAACGGTGGGCCTTTTTTGTCACCCGTTCATAGGCACCTGCTGATCTGAACTAAAGCTGTCTATTACGGAAATTGGGATATCTATGGGCGTGGATATAGTATGGACCTATATCTCGGATCTGCCGCATCATCTCACTCTCTTTAGTGCCCTCGGACGTCCCTGCGAGTGACATTACCCACCTCCTGTACGGCTTTGCCGATGTCAATCCCAGCACCGGAGAGGTCATTCTGAGTGATGCCTACGCGGACCAGCAAAAGCATTGTGAGTCAAAGTTCAGCATCAGTTACCCTACGATAACGGCTCACGCCATCCTGCAGACCCAGGTGATTCCTGGAACGACGTCGGCAATAACCTGTATGGAAGCTTCAAGCAGTTCTACCTCATCAAGAAGCAGAACCGCAACTTCAAGGTGATTCTCTCGATTGGCGGTGAGATCATCTAATACCCCGTCTGCCATCCTATTCTCACATCTGTCAGGCTGGACCTACTCGCAAGCCGGGCATTTTGATCCTGTGATCGTTTCTCCCAGCCTTCGGGCTAAGTTCGTATCCAGCGCTGTGTCTCTGCTTGAGGACAACGGTCTTGATGGAATGTCAGTGTATATCGCTTCGCCTATGTTGATTTTGCTTATCGGTATTTCAGTGATATCGACTACGAGTACCCTGATACTGATGCCAAGGCATCGGGTTTCACTGCCCTCTTGTCTGAGCTTCGAGCTGCTCTTGATGCTCATCAACAAAGCAAGGGCGACACAGTTCCATACTCATTGAGCGCTGCTGTCTCGGCTGGACCGCAGAACTATGCCAAACTGCAGGTGAAAGAGATGGACCCATTGCTGGACTTGTGGAACCTGATGGTCAGTTCGCCTAATTTTTCACGAATAGTCGGTGATCTGATCTTCGCATATAGGCCTACGACTATGCTGGTCCATGGAGCAGTGAGTCCGGGAACGACGCGAACCTGTACGGCGGCGACATCAATACCGATAGCGCGATAAAGTGGTATCTCTCCCAGGGCGCGACCTCGACCAAAGTCAACATGGGCATCCCCATATACGGACGATCGTTCGAGAACACGGATGGCCTTAATCAGCCATACAATGGAGTGGGCCAAGGCAGATGGGAAGCAGGTGTTTGGGACTATAAAAACCTCCCATTACCTGGCGCGCAAGTTGTCGAAGATCTCCAGACGGTCTCGTCTTACTCCTACAACCCGCAGACCAAGGAACTCGTCAGCTACGATACCCCTACCATTGTCCAAGCGAAAGCGAAGTATATGCTCCAGCACAATCTAGCCGGTGCCATGTTCTGGGAGATTTCGGCCGATGCAACAGGACAGAGATCTCTGGTTGGAACCACGGCCGGTGTGTTTGGCAAACTGCAACAAATTCAGAATCATCTCGATTACCCGGGCAGCCAATTCGCCAATTTGAAGGCAGGGATGCCCGACAATTAGTGGAACAGACGCGCGTCGCTTCGCCTTTGCATGGAATCCGACTCTTGTGGTTCTTTGGGCATATCTTGATCTAGAATGGAGGTAGTAATGGAATATATATGGTATAGATAGTAAAGCTTGAGAGTAATTATGAAACGAGAAGGAACATCATGAAACAATAATATCACTATACAGTGAACCAAACGTAACATGCCCGAATCCACTTGCAGGGTTGGGCATCGCATACTGCAGGTGCATGACCTATGTCAGCAAACAGCCAGTGGTCAGATCCAACTGACTCACAGGATTGTCACCTTGCCAACCTCGCTCGGGCCGTTTGGGCCCATTGCCTTTAACGCCAGGCATGTCCGCATTCCCATTGAGGATGTACCGGACGTTCACCCAAGGGCTTGTTGGGTGGTCTCGTTCCCAACGGGTGGCTAACCTGCCAACGAGTGTATCGCTAGCAGCACGGCGGTGTAGGAAGGAGCTCTTGGTGACAATAACCATACCCAATTTACATCGGGAGAGCATTACGTTTGAGCGTTGAGTCGAAGTGAGGAATCCTGGGCGGCTGGTTCGTACTAGAGAGAGCAAAACATAATCCGCCTCATTGCCTATTTCAGCAGATTGAGCAAACAGCGGTTTTCGACTTTGTCCACAATACCTTGGAAACTGTCAACATTATACACCTTCCCTCTCCAAGCTCGGTTGCATTTTAACAGCAATTGTTCTATACATGCTCGCTGAGCATCATATGGGGTAAGAACGACGAAGTTTTTGTGGTGATAATATTTTTCAACCAGATGGACGACTGCCTGGGCTTCTTTGAGATTCTAACATAGCATCATTATCATAGCTCGCCGGAATGCGTAGAAATTGAACCCACTCGCCAACTTGTTCCAACCTTGATCTCCTCTCCATCAGATACATTAATAAATTTGAGTACGCTCGTGGATCGATCAGGCTTGAATCGGCTGTGGAGGTTGCCTTTGTAAACTTCATCGGAGAGGAATTGGTTCAATGCAAAAGGTACACGGTCTATGCCCTACCAGTCAGAGCATTGATCAAGAGTCATGTCATCTACTCACACGTCGTGCGCAAGAAATGCATATTCTTCTGCAAATGTGGCAGATCGAATACAGTTGAAAGCTCTTCAGAGAGATCAGAGCCGAAGGGCGGTACTGGCGTATACAGATAATAGTCGTGAGGCGATTGCAGCTATGAAGAAATAAACTTCCTACATTGGCAAGGGTCTCCAAACCAACAGACTTTCTTCAAGTCGGTCGATATTCTATAGAATAAATGCTGATCAAAGTCAGAAAGTGCTTATGTCAGAGAAAAGGAAAGCAGAGAGCAGACACTCACTGGAAAGTCGCCTGTGAATATTTGGGAAGCTTCATCGATGACTAGGTTCTGGACAGGGATCACTTCGAAAAGACCACGGGTAATGAGTGTACGGCTTGACATCATGGACAGTGTACACAGTATGACCGGATAGTTACGCAGAGCATGCCAAAGATCTTCCATTTTGTCTGGAAGGTCATCCAGAGTGATCAGGTTACTGCTCACGTCAGTGTACACACTCTCGTGCCTATGAGAGACATCAATGATGCGGTATGAAGTAATGATAACTTGCGTACCAAGCAGTATAGAAATCTGCTGAAACAAGAAGCTTAAATTGGCTGAAGCCATTCTTCATTAGACTTTCAGCAATATTTTTGACTCCGATATTAGATTGGCAGACAAGCCAGGATGTCTGCCCAAGTTCGGTCCATCTGTAAACTGCTGCGCTGATCGTCCTTGTCTTCCCCGAACCGGGAGGTCCATGGGTTAATACCACTGGATATTCTGGGCAGCACATGACCGCGGCAACCTGGGTCTGTGACTCATCCAGCGGAACTCTCCAGTCGTCATCATCGTCGGCCAAGTCAGCAGCGCCTCTGACACTGTCTTCCAGCATCTTGATATCGCCTTCAGTTGGGAACCAGATCGAGCGAAATATATCGCTCCGATCAGAGAGCCGTGACGGTTCTCGAAGCTGAGAAAGCATCCAATCACGCTTGGCAACTTCAGCCATAGTTGGCAGGTCACCCCCAACGACCAGGATGGACTCCACCACAGCTTTTTCGAGAAGTGCATCGGGATTTGTGAACTCAATCATGGTCTGCTTTGACCGAGTAGCGACCGCTCTACCTGGCAAAGTCTGCCCATTGTCGAATGTTATCATAACATCTTCCGAATACTCAGCATTCAAGGGGATTAACAATAGACTGGTATAACTTACTCATGCGCGGACGAATGTTTGTCGCATATCGTGCATTGGTCACGACAATTGCATTAGTAGCGGTGATGTGGCACGACACGACATCTGCCTCGTATGTGGACGGCCGAGAGCGATCGACTACATCCGCCTGCAACTGCATGGTCTCAAGGAGGCAAAGTTCCTATGTAATGATACCTGAGTGAAGGACTTATGCGGAGACTGAGGAAACACCTACTTTCTCCTGGACATGTTGTGTTTTCAGCCTGACAATCTTGTCAGGCTCGAAAGCCCTTCCATCTGCAAACAATGCCGCAAACAATGCACCAGCAACAGCGGCGGTCATGGGGCTAGGTCCTTCTTCATTCCCTTGATCTTTCAGCACCAAAGCAAGCTCTTTCAGCACAGATTTGTGCGGGTGGTTAGTCGTCATAAGAGCCAACTGCGCAGGCATGTAGACGGTTCGGGTTGTGCCAGATAGTGAGGCAGATAGATCGATGCCATTCACATGTATATCGAGATCGCGGTGAATGGCCAGTGCCAAACGTCCGAAGTCGGTCGCAATATTAGTTGGCTTTTCACGTTCAAGTAGGGTGATTAACAGCTCTCGAAGCCGCACTTCTTTGTCCATGTCAGCTGCTTCTGTCATGTATGCATCGGACATATTGATGATGACAATACTGTCTTGAGTGGCAAGAACAACCGCAGAGATGCGTGCCTTCGGCGTGAATGCAGCTGATAGACCAATGAATGGCCTCTGTGTCGACCATCTGTTCGAGCTTCTTGACATGGTTGTATACAATTCTCGGAACGCCTTCAGGGAGGTCGGATGGATTGATGAGTGTATCGGTTGACCCAGGAGTCGTACGCCCAGAACCTCCATCTTCAGATTCGACATCTCTTCGTGCACCGTCCTCCCACACGCGCACGATCTCATCCTCTACGTTCACATTATTTATGGGCTCGCCCGCTTCGTTCCAGCCTGGACCGTCCGGTAGAGGATCCCAATCGCCGTTCACAAAACGGATGGCTTCCTGAACTACCCGATAGTTCTGGTCGGCTTCGTCTCCTCGGTGATCTACAACATCCCAGTCGTTGTTTGTAGAAACTGGTATGGTGGAATTGTTTGACATATAGGTATTCTTACCCTTTCCAAATGCGGAAGTGGCGCGTGATCGCACCATCGAGGGTATTGGGGTAGAGCGAGGTTGCTCGATGTGCCGTGATAGGCTAGATCCGGACCGGACGGTGGAAGGCGTCCCAGAAGAGCTGCGGTCAATTGCTGGTTGCGGAGACCTGGGTGGAGCTTCTTGTGATGTCGAAGGCAGCAGTGAAGGGAATTCATCCTCGTCCACGACGCTGGCAGCAGTGTCGGTGAAGATAAGGCGGTCTTTCCACTTCGGGAGGTTTCCCCATTCAGCATCCACTGGCAAGGGCGGCAGAGCACCACTCTCCGAAGCCGGATCATCATCAGCCCAGGATGTGATCGTGCTCGGAGGAGCCCATTTGGACCAATCTTCAGTGGAGAGTGCAGCCAGGCCAGAAGCTTCGCCTGAGCCAGAACCGTTGTTCGTTGGCGCGGGGCTCTGGTTAGGATCTTCAGGCCAAGAGTTCGGTTGGGAGTCAACCGCGTTGCCCCGACCCCAGTCGTCCGTTTGCATGGGCGAATCATTGCCTGAAGACCAATCGTTTAGATGCGCCGGTGAGGAGTTACTCCAAGACCAGTCGTTCGACTGCGCCGGTGATGCACTACCATCCCAAGACCGCATCGGCGATGCGCTGTCCCACGACGCATTGCTCCATTGAGGGTCGTCCTGTCGACGCCATTGAGAAGATTGGGACCCAGAGCTGCCACGACCGCGCCCCCTATCCGCGGCTGCGTTGGATCCTCTGGATATTTTGTCGGGTTGGTCGCTCCAAGTCGGCGACGCTCGTCCTCTGGCGCGTTTGGTGCCAAAGGCAGAATATGAGCTTGGCCCTTCCTGGCGAGCGGGAACGTGTCGAGGTCCATCAGGTGAGCGATATCCAGATGGTGACCCTCCCGCTCCTCCGTAAGTGCGATAAGAGCGGGACGACATCCCCGGGTGAGGACAAAAAGTGATGTGCAGGTATATGCGTCAGTAATTGACTGGCAGGGTGATGATGGTCAAGAGGCAAGATGTACCTCTCGCTTGAGCCAACGCCGCCCTATGATCTCCATGTGTTCTTTTCGGGCGGACCCTTCTATGGCGACGATCTCTGCAAACTGAGAAGTTGCAAGAAGATGCGCTTATTACTGTCACAAGAGAAGCACTTCACGTGACCCAAAGTCTGGACGCTCTGCACCGCGCCACTTATGCATGGTGTCCAGCTCACAATAACTCGTTCATATTCATGTTAATTCTATCAAGATAAACAACAGTCAACATGACATCCCGTCTGAAGCGGAAGCTTGACAACATGGGCGTCGATATGTCCCATGGCACTGAGAACTTCTGTATGGTGAGTCTAGACCGACCGCTTTGCACGTCAGATCGCCCTGACGATGTGTTGTTAGATCGGCACGCCACTCCCGTCTCTCGATAAAGCGGACAAGAACGAGTTTGTACCAGTCTGGAAGCAAGATGTGAGGGATGAAAAAGGTAGGAGAAGGCTGCATGGCGCCTTCACCGGTGGCTTCAGTGCCGGCTACTTTAATACTGTGGGTTCCAAAGAAGGTATGCTGGTGATGTGCCTCCTTCGAACCATTCCATGCTCATATATTCATAGGATGGACGCCGTCGACATTTGTTTCTTCACGAGCCAGCCGAGCAAATGCTCCACGTACGCAGCGTCCAGAAGACTTTATGGACGAGGAGGATCTTGAGGAAATGCGAGCTGACCAGCAACTTGTTGATACGACCCACACAGAGGGCATGCATTTTGCTGGAGAGGGGTCAGTTTCTGACGAGTGAGTGTGCACACATTGCATGACGTTTTTGGCTCAATGTCCATGATAGCAAAGCCATCTGGAATGCACTGGTCCCATCGGTACAAGACTCGCCCGGTGCGAAGCTACTGCAAAAGATGGGTTGGCGATCCGGTCAAGGTATTGGCCCCCGCATCACTTATGCCAAACGCCGTGCTCAAGACCGCCTTGCCGGAATAAATGTTGGAGGAGACGAAGAGATGGACGAGGAAGCGGGCAAGCACCTGTATGCGCCCAGGGACACGCCGGTGGAGGTGTATCGCGCTAAGGAGGACAGTTTTGGGCTGGGGTATATGCCGGGCGAGGGTCTGCGGGAGAAATCCAGTGCGAAGAGGAAGAGAGAGGAGGAAGGTCCTAATATCAGCTGTGAGTTCGAGAAACGTTTGTTAGTCAATATGCGACTGACCCCAATGCTCTAGCTGGGTTTGGTTTGGGTGCGCTCAATGACGCAGATGAAGATGACCTAGACGTATACGAGGGCGCACGACGTGCCACCGATAAACGACGACACGCCTTCAGCATGGACGAGGATGAGGATCAGCGTGTCCTCCTCGGTTCCCAGCAAGACTCGTCCTTCCGGCGTCCTGGTCAGGTAACTGGAAAACCGCCGCAGGTACAAGAGTATTTCCCCGACGGCCAGCCAGTGCTACCTGGGTTCATGCCAGCAGGTTCCCAGCTCACAGAAGACGCCTGGTTCGTGTCGTCCCTGCAGTGGTATTCTATCCCTGATGAATCTTCTATCTGCAGGTTCGCGCCACCCCAAGTGCCCGAAAATTGGCAGGCAGATCCGACTCGCGTATGGGAGGCAAACGGTAGTGTGAAGGTTTTGGTGCCTCCGCCTAAAGGGAAGGATGGGCGGCCCACACAGCTCAAAGCCGAGGAGAGAGGGGCAATACTAGGCGAAGCACCCCTCGCTCCGCGCAGTGTATTCGACTTCATGTCAAAGGAAGCGAAGGAGCGTTTGCAGAAGGCGAGGGATTCGGTCAAGACTCATCCGGCGGAAGTGAAGAGAGAGCCATCCCCACCTCCTGAAGTCAAAATGGAAATCCCGAACCTCGACTCTACAACTGCTGCTGCAGCCCTGCGGGGCTACCAGCCGTTCACTGCCGATGCCGTTAAGCAGCGGCGATACACCGCTTACCTGCAGATGCAGCTCTCTGGTTCCGAGCCACCTCCCGAGCTCTCTCCGTTGCCTGGGCAGAATATGGATTCATTCAACAAGGAGGTCGAGGACTATGCGAAGGCCGCGCGCATTTTCAAACCTGTTATTGGCGCGATGGCGAGCCGATTTACGTCATCCTCCACAGTGGAGGTAGATACCAAGCCGCGGGAAGGCCTGCACGCGCCGGACCAGGGCGAATATCTTGAGCAACAGGAGGAAGAGACGAAATTAGAGGTGAAGGAAACGCCCAAACAGCATGCAGCCAGGATGGGCATGTTTGGCCCACTTACGCGAGAGACGAGCGTCTGGCAGCCCGCGAAATTGCTCTGCAAGCGGTTTGGAGTCAGGGATCCGTACCCTACTGGAGCGACTTTGGAAGACAAAGCCGCTGTGGCTTCATCATGGACAGCAGCAGAGGCTTCTGCCGCAGCAAGCCAGGTATTGGCCGTCGCTGCGGTGTCCACGAAGCCTATTTCAGAGAAGGAAAACGTGCCGGCAAAGAAGGACATATCCAATGTTGGCCTGGGCGAGGATGACGATCAAGGCCGGAATATTCTTACGTACGAGAAGCCCGGGATGGATATATTCAAGGCCATATTCGCGAGCGATGATGAAGACAGCGATGAGGAGGAGGAAACAGCGCCTCCTGTCCCTGCGCAGAAGATGTCCGAGAGCCAACCTCTTGAACAGTTGGTGAACCAGAGTGCTGCACCAACTGTGATGCCGCAAGCATCGAGCAGTGCTGCATATGAGCCATCAAGTGTGGATACGTCGAACGCACTTGATATCACATCGTTTAAACCAACGTTTGTCCCGAAATCGGATCGCAATAAAGAAGAGGAGAACGGTGATAAGAGTGCGAGGAAGGGAAAGAAGGACAAAAAGAAAAAGGAGCAGCGGACGCTGATTTCTTTCGATGCGGAAGAGGGGATCACCGTGAAAACGATGCCGGACGAGGACCGGAGCAAGAAGCGGAAGCGCGAAGAAAAGGAAAAGTCAAAGGACAGAGACCGACACAAGGAGAAGGAAGAGAGGCGAAAACGAAGACGAGCCGAAGAGGAGGAAGATGGCATGTGGGTGGAGAAACCGCCCCCGGAGATTGCCGTGACGACGGCGGCTGCCAAGGAGGTCACACCAGAGGCTGGCGCAGAGTCCGTAAGAAAGAGGGCATCTGATTTTTTCTAACTGTATTCCTGTGTGCAGACATCTTGTATAATGACCAATTGTGCTGTTCGGCGATCCGTAAATCTCGTCACCCGTGGCATGCTCGTGTGGTGTTAAGCGCTGAAAAGAAGCGCCGTGAGAAGCGACCCTTACACCGCCACTAAGAAATTTCTGGCCAAAGGTTACGTTGAGGTTGGGTTGATTTCCCACTCTGACGCTCGCCTTCATCAACATGCCTTCAAAAGGATCAATAAGAGTAAGCGTTCCCGGATCAAAGCCCGAGAAGAAGAAGGCGCGTATGGCGAACGGACAACCCGGGCCAAAAGTGAAGCCGACCGTTCGTCGCCCACCAACTCCATCCAAGCCTGTCCGCAAACCAAAAGTCAGCGAGCCCTCAGAGCCTGTGGCGGCATCCCCATCCCCCTGCAAATCCTTCGTCATCGTTGCCGGATCCTACGAGAAACTACTCTACGGGCTAGAAGGGACGTTCCCTTCTCCCTCTCCCTCCGAAGCGAGCACCTCTACGTCCCCTGTGCCGACGCTCAAGTCTATATTTATCTTCCCCGCTCATACAGGGTCGGTGCGGGCGATCGCTGCCAGTGCGGAGGGAGGCAAGTGGCTCGCAACAGGGAGCACGGACGAAGTGGTCAAAGTTTGGAACCTGAAGCGGAGGAAAGAGGTCGGTGGGTTGGTACAACATGAAGGTGGGTCTTCCCCAACCTACCAACCTAGGCACGGCCACTGACCCCCCCGTGACGAAAGGCTCGATCACCTACCTTGGATTCCCGACCCGGAGCATGCTAGTCTCTGCTTCGGAAGACGGTACCCTCGCGCTCTTCCGCGTGCGGGGATGGGAGCTCCTCCGCTCGCTCAAAGGGCACACCGGGCGAGTAAACAGCGTCGCCGTGCATCCTTCTGGGAAAGTCGCGCTCAGCGTGGGTAAAGACCGTACGCTCCGGATGTGGGACCTTGTTCGGGGGAAAGGCGCGGCGAGTGTCAAGCTGGGCAAGGAGGGGGAGGTCGTGCGGTGGAACGCGGCTGGAACGTTGTTTGCTGTCCAGGCGGGGAAGGAGGTTGACATCTATTCCACGGGGATGAAGTTGCTGAGGAGCATTGGACACCCGAGTAGGATACATGATGTGAGGTTCTGGACTGGGGGAAAGGGGGAGGGGGAGTGGGAGGTACTGCTTGTCGCGGCGGAGGATGGGAAAGTTGCGGTTTATACGCTGCCGGAAGGGGAGGAAGAGACGACAATCATCGCTCAGCTTGTTGGGCACACGAACCGGTTCGCGCTCCCCTTTCTGCGTGGATATCGCTCATAGTTGAATAGGGTCAAAATGATTGACACTATCCTTGTTTCCCTTCCTCATACTGGCGACACGGCCAGAACGACGACATACGCGGCGACCGTCTCCTCCGACGGGCTTATAAACCTGTACGACCTCTCGTCGCTACCGAACGACAGGCCCACAGGGGAAGTGAAGCCGGTGCAGATAGCCCCGCTGACGGGGTATGATACTAAGGGGAGTAGGCTGACGTGTGTTGCGCTTGGGCAGGGCGAGGTGGAGGGTGGGGATGGGCTTGCGGGGGGAGGTAAGAGGAAGAGGGAGGAGGGGGAGGATGATGATGATGAGGAGGAGGAGGAGGGGGGGGAAGAAGAGTTTGCTGGGTTTGGAGATGAGGAAGAGGAAGAAGAGGAGGATGACTAGTCGTACAGTTCATTATCTTGCCTAGGCAGTACATCCCCTCCTAATCAACAACATACCTCTACCAGCATCTCTCCCACTCCCACTCCCATCCAACCCTCCATTCTCCGGGTTTCCCAGCACCCCAAACCCAAGATCTACAGCTTACAAAACTTCGCCTGCACCCAAACTCTGTACATTTTCAGCTGCCGTTTCCGGTTTACTAGAAGGCGGCGGTCGATACCCAGTTGTTGGGCGGAGAAGAGCGGATGTGGGGGGAGGGGGTAGGCGGGAGGGAGGGGGGATTGGGTTTGGGCTGGGGCTGGGGTGGGCGGAGCAGGGGATGTAGGGGGTGAGAAGAGTGGTGCTGCGGCTGTATGGATGATATCCCCGTCTGGGGCTGTCGGGGGTATCCGACCGCTCTGGGCAGGTTCTGGGTCGACGAGGTCTGTGTGCTCAGACTGGGGTTGTGGTGAAAGAGCTGGCGTGGGCTGCGCTCCTGACAAGGCTGTTTTGGGTCTTGTTTTTGGCTCTGGCTCTGGGGGTTCTGTTTCAGGGCGAGGTGTAGGCTCGAGCACGAAGACCGGAGGAGAGGCGGCCCCAGTGCGCTGGTCTTTCTGAGTGCCCTGACCTTCCACAGGCGTCCCCTCCCCCTCCCCTTCCTCCTCAAGTTCCTCCCCCTCCCTCACCACCGCCTGCGGCACCTCCGTGCTCCCCGTAAACAGCCCGCCCAACTCCCCCAGCTCAAAAAAGTACACCCTCGTCCCGTCCCCTCTCACGTACAGGTTTTCCTCCATAAGCCTATTAGTACGAAATCGTAGCTGGGTAAGGTCGTGTCTCCCATAGTCGCGTATCAGTACCAGACCGGACGGTTTGAGCGCCTTTCCGACTCGTTAGTGCGGATTGGGGGAAAGAGGGAAAAGGGGAAAGGGGGACGCACGGTCCAGATGTTCGCTAGTGCGCGGGTCCACTCGTCGGGATGTAGCGCGGAGAGCACGAATATGAGAAGGACGATGTCGACTGATCCTGGGGGGATTGACTCTGGGAGACCGAGGGGGGAGGCGAGGTCCCATACTTGGGCATGGAGGGATCCTTTTGGTGGGTGGTAGAGCGGGTTTGCCTGGTGGGTTGGCACGTCAGTCAAGGAGAGGAGGGGAGAGGAGAGGGACGCACATGAACAACCTCGATCGCCTTCTTCGAATAGTCGCATCCTACCAGCTTTAACTGGTCATTCTCGTTCTCCTGTACCAAAGGGAACAAGGCGTTCCCCACCCCGCACCCTGGTTCCCAGACAGTGACTTCCCCGGCATCCTCCCTCGTGGCCTGGAACAACTCCGGAAACTCCAGATGGAGCCATTTCCTATCCTTGAAGAAGTTCCCCTGATTAAGTCTATAGAACGCATCCCAGTACTTCTCAGGGCGGGCGTTGTACCTGTTCCTGTCGGCGTCGCTCACTCGAGAAGCCCGTTGCCGCTCGAGGGAGAGGGCGATACGCTCCCCCTGGTCGTCCGGTGGGGGAACGTGATCCCACGCGTTCTGTTCCCATACGGAGCGTGAAGGGGTGAGGAAACGAGAGCCGAAGGGGGGTGGAGCGCCTGATGTCTGAGTTGAAGCAGTGCGTTTCGATTCTCCAGGGGTTGCTTCATCCATAGCATGCCATATGAAGTAAGGACAACTCTTTGTTCCTGTGACTGAAATAAAACTGGTTGAATACCCCGGAGCCGAGGAGTGGCTATGTATGATACACGCAGGGGTTCCCTTCCGCCCACATCGCCCCGTTCCATGTCCTCGTTGCTCTCGATCGTCCCCCCAGCGGATGGACCGACTTCCTCACCTCTATTCGTTCTTACTAGTCCTGTTTGTCTCACTTAACTCCTTATTCGGTCTTGCTTGTTAAGTCAAGGTGACGTGTATATATCGTCATCGGTCTAGCGGTCTCAGTCTGTAATCGGTCGATCAATCACCAGCACATCGAATCAACTAGCTGAACAACGAGAGAGAATAGAGAGAAGAGTGAAGGGAAAGAGTGAAAAAAGGAATGACAGAGAGTGAAAGGATGTATCAATCTTCTGCACAAGAGTACTATGACGGTCACTCTCTTCCACCAGGCGCTCAACCACCTTACATTCCAACAATGCACAACCCTCAACACCCTCAACACCCTCAGCACCAATACTTTCAACCCCCTCCAGGTGCACAAGAACTCGTTTGGCCACCGGGTTACCAACCGCCTCCGCATCTCCGCACAGCTTCCATCACTTCCTCTCCATCCACCACCACTACACCAGCTTCACCCCGTCCTACAGCAGGTCGAAGGCCCCTCCCACGCCCACCAGGGCAGAGCCCAGACATGTCACCACAGCAGCACAGGCAGGCTCCTGTGCCTGCTGCAGGGTACGCGGGTGGTAGTCCGGTGGACAAGCCCGTACCTCCGAGGATGGGTTCGTATGAGCCTCAGGCGGCCGTCGAGCCTCTCCATCCTCGACACGGTACTCAACCGCAACCTGGTCAGGCGTTCTCTCCCCAACTGCAGACAACGCCGTTTACTCAAGCACCCCGTGCAGGAGGAGAGTACTACCATTCACCCACTTCAGGCACTGCTACTCTCAGTCCGGAAGAATACCTCCCTCCGCGCGGAATGCCCTCCCCTGTCACGGTAGGGAGCACGCTTTCTCCCGTCTCCCGACACCCGAGGGAAAACACTCTATCTCGCTCACCGAGCATGGCCAGTTCTACCGCCGGGAGCGGAGTGGGCAGCCCCAGCTTGAACAATTTCCGCGCTACGAACATCCCCGCGAGCATCATGGGCGACCGGGCGGGCGGTGTCGTGCGCACCAAACGGACTAGCGCTCTGCCGCATGTGGGAAGCGCAGGGAACGGCAGTCCCATCAGTCCGTCAACGATGCGCTCTGAGAGCAGCAGCGGAAGTGCGAGTGCGAGCGGGAGCGGGAGTTACGTCAGGCCGCAGAGGGAAGACAGGCTTCCTGCTTGGCAGGAGCAGCTGCCCGCTGTGATGGTGAGCGACCTCCTTGAGGGGAGGGAGTATTCACCCGTCGAGGCCCCCAACGGGACGTACGACCCTACCCCTCGCGGGAGCATGATAAATCATCATCATGTTCCCGAGGAAGACGACCAGTCACCGGCGACGACGTCCTACCCATCATACTCTACCCAGCTAGGCCGTTCCTCCACAGCGGGAAGTACGCTCGCCGCCTCCCTCCTGCGCACAGACAGCTTCCTGTCCAACACCACTGCTACTTCTGTCCAATCGAGCCATCCTCCCCCGCTCAAACGTGTCATCACGGGCGACAGGATCAGTCTTACCACTCCCCAGCCCAGTCCGGGGGGAGAGGATTCTGGCGGGAGCTTCGAGATCATCCCCGCTCCGGCAGAGCATGACGAGAAGGAAGCGTATAAGCAGGCGATGCAGCTCCAGGTACAGGAGGACCGACCAGAGTACCGCCATGGCGCCCAGGAACAACTGCAGCAGGCTCCACAGCAGGGCAGAGCAGGTGCTTCCCAAGGCTGGTATGATGATGGGGAAGGCAGTGCGCCCGAAGTGGAGGGAGACGTCTACTCCCTTCTTGACGACTACGATGACGGGGACGTGAAAGTCCCTGGAGGGCTCGGCGTGCACGCCGGCGAGGAAGGCAGCGATATCATGTTCGAGGAAGAAGATGATGAGCGATTTGTCAATCTCGCCTTGCTCTCACACGTCGCTGTTCGTCTCCGGGACAAAGTCCCCCGTGGCACGCACGTCAAGGGGAGCATACCCTACGAACGCGCCTTTACGGGAAAAGACATCGTCAGCACCGTACAGAGCATGATTCAGCATTATACGCTCTCCCAGATGGGGGTGGCGACGCATGACCGTTCCTTGGGCCTCATGGTCGCGCGCTCGCTGTACGAGCAGGTCTTCTTCTACGAAGTGGAGTGGGGGACGAACCCGATCACTGACTCTGTGGAGGATGTGTTTATGTTCCTGGACGATTTTGAGGGAGGGAGCGCGGCCCCCATTGGGGAGAGGGAGGAGCTCCCTACGGCGGTCGTTACACCCTTTACGAGATGTTATAGTCCTACTTGTGGTGATGGAGGGCCGTGTTATGCGTACGGCTGTCCGAGGAGGAACTTTGTGAGCTGTTTATTCGCGCAAGGGGGATGGGTCTGATGCCGTTTAGACACAATTGGAGCTGCTCTCCCCGCCTGGCACATCGGGTCTCCCACCTGAAGAGCCAAAAGAGGTGCGCCCACGCTCATATCCGTGTGTACATAACTCATTACTCCCCAGGGAACACGCGAGAACTGGCGAGACAACATCGGGCGCGAGTTCTTGCAGACCCTGCCAGAGAGCGAGATCAAGCGCCAGGATATCATCCTCAAGATTATCAAGAAAGAGGAGATGTTCAACGACGACCTGGACGTGCTCGAATCTGTTTTCCTCAAGCCTCTACGCGCCGCCAGACCGCCGATCATGTCCCCTGACTATCTGGAAAACTTCATCGACGACGTCTTTGGAAACTTCCTCGATCTCCGAGAGTGCTCGCGCCGCTTGCTCGAGATCCTCAAGGTCAGGCAGCGAGAGCAGAACCCTGTGATCCAGAAGATTGGTGATATCTTCCTTAACTCTGCTGTGGACTTTAGGCAGGTTTACCCGACGTACGTCGGTCACCTCCCTGTTGCGGAGAAGAGGCTCAAAGATGAGTCGGAGAGGAATCACGAGCTGAGGCTGTTCCTCGAGGTACGTCCGACCCCTGAAACGTTCGGCCGGCCCGGGCTGACGCAGCAATAGCAATGCTCGCGCTCCCCACAAGCGCGGAAGATGGATCTCAAGTTCTTCATCTCCCGTCCCTCGGAGCACCTCCAGCGGTACCCTGTCGTCCTCCAGGCTTTGCTGCAGGAAACCCTCGTCGGCAGCCCGGACGGAGACTACCTGTTCGAAGCGCTGCAGGCTATCAAGCGCCTGCACAGTGTCGCCCAGCTTATGACTTTCCAGAGCGCGATGCTTCGCGGTCCGACAGCCAAGCTCGAGTGGCACGACTTGCTTCCCGAGGGCGCGCTGCAGGATATTGAGAGGCATGAGGTTAAGCGGCAGTCGCAGATCTTTGAGCTTATCAAGGGTGAGATGGAGTATGTGAAGGATCTGGAGACGATCGATACTGTGAGTTTGTGTGCTTTTGGAGTGCCTGCTCCTGCTGAATCGGATTGGTTACGCAGCTCTTTGTCCGCAGGCTAAGGACAGAGCCTGTCATACCCCAAGATCGTCGGCTCGAGTTCATCCACGACGTCTTCTGGAACTTCCAGGAACTGTACAAGCACCACCGGAAGATGCTCGACAAGCTGCACGAGATCCAGAGGGAAGAGTACCCGCTCATATACAGCATCACTGAGCCTGTGCTTGAGGCTTCGCTCAACTGGCGCGACGCGTATATGGAGTATGGCCCGCATTACCCTATTGCGGAATACAAGATCGACCGGGAGCTGCAGACGAACCCCGCGTTTAGGGAGTTCTTCGACCAGTGTGTCAAGCACCCCGATGCGAGAAGGCAGGATATGAAGGCGTTTGTCAATCGCCCCATTCCACGTTTGCTCCGGTACTCTCTGCTCTTGCAGGCTATGTACGACTCGTCCCCTGCCGATCACCCGGATAAGGAAACGATCCCAGGCTTGCTGGACATCCTCAAGTCGCTCGGGAAAGCCATCAACGCCGGTGTCGCCGTATCCGAGACCAAGGTAAAACTGTGGAAGTACAGTCACGACCTGGTCTGGAAGGAGAATGGAGAGGCTGTTGACCTTCAGCTGCAGGATGAGACCAGGAGTCTGATCCATAGTGGTAAACTCCTTCGCCAGCCTGAGACTGGATTTGAATGGAATGGCTGGTCCGAGTTGTTCGTCTTGCTGTTTGATAACTACTGTGAGTCTTCGAGTCCTGTAAGATTTCGTGACTGAGCGTAGAGCAGTGGTCATGAGCAAGCCTAAGGAGACGAAAGACGGAATCAAGTATGTTGTTAGGGGAAGGGTAGGTCGTATCTAATATGCAGACGACTATCACTCACGTCCGTTGCAGCCTATTCCCCTGGAACTCTTGGCTTTGACCAACTTTACCGAAATACCCCAGCAGCGGTCTGTTGGCTTGCTGAGAGGTCGCTTGAGAAGCGATCGCGGGAACGAACCCTCGGCTAACGGTAATGTGCCTCAAACAGAATCCAACGATCCCCGGTTTGTATACCCCTTCACTATTTATAACAGCGCGCGCGAGAGCGGCTTCTACACCCTCTACTCGGAATCGCAACAAGCTCGGTCAGAATGGAAATCCAAGTTGGAAGAGGCTCTTGGTCTGCGTATGGCCGTGCAAGAAAATAACAAAGTGCTCGAGATCGAGACGCTCAGCGACGATACCTTCTATATCCCGCCACAAGCTTCGTCAAACCAGCAAGCGAGCTGGAACGAGGAGAACGCATTCACTGGCAAGGTCACGTGCTCCGTACCGTTCTGTGAGTGAAAGTGTTATTGTAGAGCGTTCTCCTGCTGATCCACTTTCTTGCAGCCACACCAGATGGACGCGGGCTCATCGCGGTTGGGTGTGCCGAAGGTGTATGGATTGGCCTACGTCACGATGCCAGATGTAGGGAACTTTCCACTATCGAGCGCGGTACCCACTAACACTTTTTCCAGCATTACGCCGCGTCTTGGCGCTCAAGCAGGTGACGCAATGTGCCATGCTCGAAAAGTTTGGTATCTTTTTGGTGCTTGCGGACAAGAGTCTTTTCGCATATTTGCTTGAAGCACTGGTGCCTACATCCACTACGACGAGTAGCACGGCCAGACAGCCGGAGAGACTCAACAAGGATGTCGTGTTCTTCAGCGTCGGCACCCTGGGAGATCGTACTCTGATCACCTACATGAAGAAGAAAGGGGTATGTCAGATAGCTTCAATATTTGTGCTGTGTTCTGACGACATCAACAGATGGACAGTGTCTTCCAGGTGGTTGAACCGGTCCTAGAAAAAATCCAGGAAAAGTCAAAACCTGTTGGCGCTTTCGGGCGCTTCATGTCTGGCGCGAAGAGCGAATGGTTCCGTCCTTACAGAGTACGTTTTGCTCGCCAGCGTGCTTCGAATGATGCTTACACAGAGATAGGAATTCTTCCTGCCCTCTGAGGCATACGATGTGTACTTCTTACGCCTGAAGATTGTTATCCTTTGCCAGAAAGGCTTCGAGATCATGGGCCTTGCCGATTTCAAGAGCGACACCATTCCTCATGCTAACGACCAGCGCTGGGGTGCCATCGCCAAGCGCTTCGAAACGTGCAAGCCTATTGGGATATTCAGAACCAGCAGCGAGGAATTCTTACTCTGCTATGATGGTGCGCTGTACTCATATCTTTGTCTCCTTTATGACTCATCACGACTGCAGAATTTGGTATTTATGTTGGCCGCCATGGTGATCCCAGTCGAGGCGAGCAGGGCGTAGTGGAGTGGGAAGGCAAGCCTTTGAAAGCCGCCTTCCATCCACCATACGTGTTGCTGTTCGACAAGCGCTTCATTGAGATTCGACATATCGCCAAGCTTCACCTTGTACAAATCATTCCTGGGCAGGACATCAGCTGCATCTATGATGGCCGTGCCAGCGACATGACGCCTCAGTTCGACCCTGGTCCGGATGGTTACCCCGAGGGTACCATTCCCCAAGACCCTCGGATCCATGCCGTCATGAAGATGAATGAGAATCCTAATCCTCATCACCGTGGCACGGCACAACATGTGTTCGAACTGGTACCGACTATCCCGCTATTCCTCCCTGAACCCCTGGGTTCACCTTCGCAATCGGTGTACAACTTCCAAAACTCTCCCCCTCATTCCCCTCAGCTCCAAGCGAGTTCCTTGCAAACCTGGGGTAGGTATTGAGGAGTCATGAACGAATGAAATAATGAACGCTCCAACGTAGACCCCACGAGTGTAGTCAATATAGCGGATCTGTGACCTTGTATTTGGTTTCCTTTGTATAGGTACCGATCATTATTCGCGACTCGATATGATACATGTTTATCCTCGGTATAGGCAGCCCATCATCATCCATGAGACAGGTAGTGGATTCCCGTGAAGATCAGTTATACATGGACAGACCGCGAACGAAGCGATCTACCGCGGCCCTGAAGTACTCGTTGTCTATGCCCTGCTCTTTCGAGTCCATGACCATCAGCGGATTTCGCACAACGTAGTCTAAGAAGGGGCCCGTATAGATTTGCCGCAGAGCAAAGCGCAGCGACTCGGCGTTTGGGTCGGTGAGGATAACGAACTTGTACCCCGTCATCGTCTCGTACAGATGAAGCTTGTAAGTTGACGTGCGATAATTCGACAGTGTATCATCCCTTCATCTAGTCAGTTGGATGAGGATAGGGTTGCAGATAGTGTACTCACTTGACAGCTATCTTCTTCACCATCTGTCGCAAGCTCAAGATCACACCATATACGAGCTTTGCTTCCTCGTCAAACGACAGTGTGCTCATGCTCGTTGGCCCATCCATCCTATCCAGCTCGCCATTTCCCAAAGCAACTACGACACCACCAGTTGGTGTGAGAGAGGCACGCTGCCCTGCTTGGGAGTCTGACTGGCCAGATACGGCGTTGGACACACCGGGAAGGAGAGCGCCTGAGGAGGCGGGTCGCGGTCGCTTAGTGCGGTGCCAATCCTGATAGTATACGCATGTACAGTGTCTAAAGGAGAACGCTAGTTAGCATAGACAATGTGGCATGTGTTCACACCACACCTGTCGAAGATATACAGACTGTAGATGGTCATCGCATGAGGCTGCGTTCTGAATTCAGGGACACGCGATCCAAACTGCGTCTTCGAAAGAAATAACAGTGAGCTCGCTGCCTGCACCCGCTTTTAAGCTCTCTTCACACATCCTGGGCAACGACATCCTAATTCAAACTACATCCGCGCGTACTCCGTGAGTGAAGGGTATCCTAAGGCGACAGCTATTCGCGAAGGGGCGCCTGGAATAGAGATGCAAATAACAGATAAGTACAATGACACAGAGCAGCCGAGGACCACAACCACAAGCAAGCAAAAAGATAAATAACAGGTGAGGAAAAAGGAGATAAAACGTAAAGTACGTCACTCGAAAGCGGGAAGAAAAAGAAAAGTCCACATAGGATTCGACTCCAGAGCGAGTGACTGCGGCCAGCGCTGGGATCGTCAAAAATAAGGACGGTGAGTAGAGGGGGGATTTTCATGGAGCGTAACCTTGCGGGTACTGCTCTGTTCGTATATACGAAGTAGGTCGTGAGCCTGTGGAAGGCCTCTCCTGCTGAATCCATCGTTGGTCGGGTGGTCGAGCTTGCTGGGGAACGGGCTGATAAATGGGATTCCGTGACTGTTGCATAGGCTGGCCGTTGGGTGGAGAACCATACACCCCCTCCGGAGCATTGATATCCACCCATGAGCCAATGGACTGAGACATGACTTCATTGGGATAATTGGCCGGTGCTTGCTGCGACTGGGGTGGAAGTGCCTGAGGAGTCCTGGTTCCGTTCACGTGGGGTGGCCCTGGCCGATTAGACATGGCAGGATCCGATCTCCTAGTGAGAAGGCGAGTTTGAGACTCGCCTCGATATTGGTCCGGCCTGGCAAGTCCATCTCGATAGCTATTGCTTGGGGGCAGGCCATTTGCACCTGGCTTTGGGTGCTTCAGCTTCCAGTATAGTTCGCACTTCTTGAGTATCTCCTTGCGAGGAAGGTCAGCACAGCTCATAAAGTAGTCCATGTCGTGCAGGATGGGTATAAACTCGTCGGGGACGGCGTATAGCTCATCCTGTAGTTCCAGAATGTGCGCCACGACGCGAATGGCCAAGAAAATCTCGTCCTTTGCAGGATCCCTGCTCCTTGCAGAAAGGATAGTGGGAGCAATGACAGTAGCCAAGTTCTGCAGATCCATCTTGCTTCCAGTTTCCGAATCAACATGGGAGAACGAAGCGACCCATTTGAGGAAGACAAATAGCACCTCCGCAGTATCGCGATGAGATTTAGGCAACATCATTGACACCAGGTGCATGTACCTTCGACGATCGTCCGCATTGGAGAACTCTGGGTGAACAGTCAACACGGTCACTCACACAAGTTCCACACGAACAAGAACTCACTTTGGGTGGCAGTGAATAACTTGTGGAGTTTGAATGTGAGAAGTGGTTCAGGCAGGTCGCCCAAAAATTTCTTGAGCAGCGCGGCCAGTTGCACAGGGCTCTCTGTGGTTAGATCCACAGTGGATGGATCACGGTCAATATGATCCGCAAGCTCCTTTAGGCGTCTAATGTTGCCGTTCTTGCGAAACACACCCTCCACGGACATATCTAAATGCATTCAACAAGGTAAATGGGAATAGATGCGTTGATACTCACCCATTTGCTTCATGGCAGACACGACATCATCAATGAAGCTAGGAACCCTCAACGCTGTTCGGGATGCACCTAATAGAGAATCCACACCCTCCTTTTCGACCAGGAGTTCGAGGGGCACACCAAATGCGCCTGCCAATTCTCAGACATAACCCCTTCCATGTTAGTCATGGTGCGTACCTTTCTTTTTAACGTTCTTCTTCTCTCCTTTGAACAGCTTTGTGAACAACCCTTTATTCTTCACTTCGATCAGATCAAGGATCTCATCGAGATCGAATTGGTCTCGCAACGGCGACTTGTTAAGCACCAAAGCACTGAAGTGCTTGAGAATCATTAGCTCTAGCGAGCTCAGCTCCGAGATCATAGGCTTTCCGGCCTGCCGGGGTAACGATCGCTGCTGCTCACGGGCTTGTTCCGCCTCCATCATATGCGGAATATCGGCAAGTGTGATGGCATCCTCTTCAACATTGAATCCATCATTCTCATTGGGGGCTTCATGAATCGTTGCAACCCGACCCGTCGAGCTCTCCACCGCTGTTGAGCTGTCATCCGCTTCTGCAATGATACGAACAGAGGTGTTGTTGCGCGCAAAGTTCGGTCGAATGATAGAGCTTCCATCAGGTCCAACAGTGACAGGGCCCGGTGACGGTGACTGCAGTCGTCCCGCGGGTAATGATGGGGGCTGAGGTAACTGTTGTTGCGCAAGCACTGCTGGTGGGGGTGCAACACGGGTTGGTATTGGTGCGTGGGGTTGAGGTTGAGGCCTGTGAGAAACAGGTGGTTGGGGCCGTTGTTGGGACAACTCTGCCGGCTGTTGCGAACGTGGGGGAACAGAAGAATGGAATGTTGCATCAGTGGGTTGTGCGATCCTTCCTGAGGGGCTCTCAACGATAGTTGAACGTTTCGGCAATCTTGCAGTCGCCGAGAGTTTGCGATCCAAATGTACAGACTTGAGTCGCATAATCTCTGTGGAGTCTCTGTACGACTCAGAGAGAGACTTGGTTTCAGAGAAGGCATCTGAAGCAGCTGAAGAACCTGTTGGAGGATTGCACCCCCAATTCATCAGAGTTCGTCCGGACCCTTAACATCAAACAGTACATACTCGGCAGGGCCATCCATCCCTTCCTTCTCAGGAGGTCGTACAGCCTCCGGAGCGCAACATTCAGTAGAAAGGCAAATTGTTCCAGTTTTGTGACGGTCTCGAACCCAACTTGACAGTCGGGCTCACGATCGGTGATGCACAGAATAACAGCCGGCTGGGGCTCACCAAGCTGCTTGGGCTTCTTCTGCCCTGGCCGATATACAAATTCTTGTACCAAGGCGGGCGGCCTCCGGCTTGACGAGATCTTGGAAGGTGCCCCTTCTTCGCCGGAGGTAACAGCGCTCTCCTTCTTCGGAGATGCAAGAGCATTTCTGCCGCATCTCTCACACTTCAAGCACTGTGAATGCCACCGTGTGTAAGTCCCCAGACGAACGCAATCCTCCTCGACCGTTTGGCTACATTCGACGCATAGGTCGCTAGGTGGATCCATTTGTTGTGAATCAGTCGCGTTCGGTGAGAATGGACTCTCCCCGGCATATTCCGGGGCAAGGCACTTGTATCCATACACAACGCCTTGCGTACCAGGGGTTGCGCCACTGCCAGTAGCGCGCGTGGCTCGTCGTGCTGAAGGGTTTGCGCCTTCTCGGACCAATGTTTGCAATTTGTCCAGCATATTGGAGCCAGCGCTTCGATCCTCATACTCGCGCTCCAGCTTCAGAGATCCAGTTAGCGCTATCCGAATCAGAATCTTCAGATAATGCGCAAGACCCGTGACAACAGCCAGGAGCTCTTCCGTAAACCGCATTCGACGATCTACAGTGTGCTCTGTTCTTGACAACAAGGTAAACAGATCCACAGTTTTCCGGCAGAGCATTCGTGCTTCTCGAATGTGGGACATCCCTGATCTAAGGTCAACATATTGGTACCAATTCTCCGGAAGCGATAGCTCACCCTTGGCATTGAACTTGATGAACTGCGCCTCCAGATCATCCACTACCGCAAACAACACCTCCACATGTAGAATGAACTTCTCTGCGAATCGGATCGCCTCCAGCCAGTGGCCATTGGCGACATTGTTCAGCATATTTTGGATGCAAGTTGCCGAGCTTTCCTCAAATTGGGAGAGGGTATTCCATATGCGGTATACTTGCTGCTCCATCTGTCGCTGTTTATTCCGCAATGACACAGCGGTCTCGGTCGCTTCCTCTTTCTGATACGTAGGTTGCAATTCGGGTGGAGAACCATCAGGGTTCGGATCGGGGGGTAATGGGGGGACTTCGGATGGAAGTAATCTGGATGTCATCTTTACGTTCCAGAACTGGGGTGATGGTTAGCTCTCCGCGTCCGGGGCAGATTCTGATCCGAGAGACGTACTCGATGGATCATGTAACACTCCGGATGCCAGCACTCATTTCGCTGATTCCTGTTGATCTCCACGAATTGCTTCAATATCGCGCTCCCGCAGCCCACACACTTCGTCGCAAACCGTGTTGAGTAGTGAAAGTGACAGTAGACATCACCCCCGTGCTCATAATATGAATCTGATTGCCCGAAGAGCGTGGGGCAGACCGAGCACGTGAAGTGCTCTACGTGGAATTTCTTGTCTGAAAGGACATTAGGCGAGATCTAATACAGTTACTAAAAGGGTAATACGCACTGCACGCCGTGATGTAGCTTCCTCGCAGTGCCTCTCCACACTTTCCACATATAAGGTTAAGTCGTCTGAAGTAATCTCGTTCGCAAAGTGGTTGCTGTCTGCCGTCGGATCCTTCTATGGGGAAGAACTTCTGCGCAACAGGGCGATCACAGTCCTGTGAGATGCAGAAAAAGACGGTCAGCGGTTGCTCTCATCAAGGCACAGCACAGCATGCGACGCGGAGGCGGGGCAAATGGGCCGCCGACATCCGGTCGATGCGCAGAGGTGATACTCACCCGACACCGGAAGCAGTCCAAATGATAGACATTGCCGAGCGCTCGAACAAACTGTCCAGTCATGACGAGGTTACAGACATGGCAGATGGGCTGCTGCAAGGTCGACGGAGTGACGGTGCGGTTAGGTACAGAGCCATCGGAGCCTGAAGATGAGGGTGGTCGTGGGCGTGGTTGCGACTCTGGAGGCACCTGAGCTTGTACATAGGGTGGATGTCCATCGTCAGGTTCTCTTGAGGCTTCCGAGCCAGTTGGGGACGAAGCTCGCTCGGACTTGTGGCGAATGTTGGGCGGTGGAAATTGGACGCGCGTCTGGTGACCATGCGGATCGTACTGGGCTTGGGGTGCTGCACCAGGTGATCCAGTTCGTTGATGAGCATGCTCTAACTCTTCTTGAACATCTGCAGGGCGTGTGTGAGGAGACATAGCTCGTTGGCGAGGAATGGCGTTGGGTGGAAGGGTGTTCAGGCGACTTGGGCTATCCTTGACACCACCAGTCTTTCCCTTATCAAAGTAGTCCTTCTCCCTATTCTGTTCTCCCGGGGAGCCAACTGTGCTGCTTCTACGCGGTCGGTCGTCTCCCATGGGTAATCGCGAGTCTGGAGAACGGATAGCAGGTGCTGAATACGGACCATCCACAGAGAGCGGCGCCTGACCCTTATTCGCCCAGCGTTGCATCAGGGAGGAAAAGGTCCCTTGTAAGTCAGGTCGATTGCTGTCTGGTTGGGTGTAAGGGAGTTCTGTCGCGTTTGCTGAATCATCAACTGATGGCGACTCTGGCCGGTCCGGGGACTGTGAACGACCCCGACCTGGACGATACATTAGTAGGAAGCTGAGCTGGAGGACGAGGGATGCGAGTGGCGATGTCGGACCCGAGTTTGAGGTTGACTGAACGGATGGGTTCGGTAAGGTTAAGGTGGTCGGGTAATTATTAGAGTAGGGTGTGAGCTGAGCTGAGCTGAGCGATGATGAGCGTGCCCGTACGTTGGTAGGGTGTCGTCTGTGGTCGTCGCCGTCGTAGGTCAACGTCGACGTCGCGGTGGTATTGGAAGCAGAAGATGCTCGAGCACGCGGTACACTGGTTGACGACGGGGTCGCCGTGCGCGGATGCGCCGAAGTCTGTCTCACTAGGCCAGCCACGGTTATTGACGTGGTCAGAGTTCAGAGTGTCGACAGCTTTGTCTGCTGTGTCGGCACCTTTCACAACCACTCGAAACGCCTCTTTTACTTACGCATTTTTGCGAGTTTAGACAAGTCTTGCACTCCATGCATCAGCATTGCCCTCAGTCACCCCTTCGATCAAGTGTTACATCGTACCCCTTCCAAAGAATCCCTTGCCGTTGCGACCACATGCTCCGCTACATAGTCGCACAAATCGCAAACAAATCCAAGGGCCGACGCTATTTCTTTCGCACGATACATCATGTCAACTCTTTTGGCCGAAACATGAATCCCTGTGTGATGTATCCCCTCCACCCCGCTCATCGACACTAGATATGTAAAAAGAAGCACGGAGGGGTCCCTTGCCCGATCCATCACGATCATTTAAAGATCGAGGATACTTTAAACGGCTTCGACAGTATTGTTGACGCCAAAACCCCGCAGCGTCACATAATCAGGCGTGCGGATGTTGACCTTTGCCTGATCCTCTGGCTTCTGGTGCCAGTAGTAGATAATCAAGCCCAAGATAACCACGGCAAACGCAGGGAAGTACAACCAGAACGGTGCGTAATGCTGACAAACACCGTCAAGATCCGCTCCTATTTTTCCGTCATGTAGATAAGAACTCACGTAGAGGAACAACCCGAAGAGAAGCCCGTAAAAGTCACTGGTCAAGAGCGACAAATTGTAGTATGCCGCGGACGTCATGCGATACAGTAGCGGCGCCACAGTGTACAGGATTAGCATCGCTAGAGATTAACTTTAGCTCTATCATCAGTGAACCCCACAAAGGAAATCTGATTACCGGCAGTATACGCAAAAAGTAGACCAACTGCATCCGCGTTGAGTGCCTAGCAACAGAACAACGACAATATCCACTCACTGACAGGTCCGTTCCAGGTAACTTCGGTCATCAGCTTGTGCTCTAGTCCGGCGGCCTGGCATCCGTTGATGATCACACCCCAGAAGCCCATCTGTCCAACAACTTCGTAAAGGGGCCGGTTGCGGACAAAGAGCTCCTCGGTAGCATTGGCTGCTTCAACATCAGAAAGTGCCTCTCTTCGGAGGATGAGTCACTGACAAACACCGTAAAGAGTAGCACCAATGATCATGAGGATATCGCCCCGGACCATATCCGATGATTGCCAGTCTTTGTCCGTGATTTCGTCTGAGGTCACCAGCAAGCCCAGGCCAGCAATGCAGACGAGCACACCAACATACTGCGACCAGTGCAGCCGGGTGCGCATGTACAGCCAAGAGAGGCCGATGCAGACTGGGATAGCCCAAGCGTCGAGCAGCATGCAGGAAAGAAGGGTCGTGTATTCGTAAGCCAAAACGACAGTGTAGTTTCCTTCGACATCACAAGCTGCAAGGAAGATATCTATGAATGATTGAGCGTCATATGCTTATAGGTTCTGACATTTGACTGCTGACATTTGTACCCATCTTTGAGAATCATTGTTGCCCATCCCTTGAAGCCATAGCGATACACAGTGTACGGTGTGTAGATCAAAAACAGGATAAAATACCTGTCCGTCATTTCCGTGAATACCGCATTTCCACATAACAACATCATAAAACTCACAAAAAGAACGTCTGCGTCGTAGGCAATGCCCATCCGCGCAGGCCGAGCTCCGTGGTGCACACGCTCGTGCAGGTGATGCACAGGCTAACGAGCTGCCCTGCCAGGAGGGAGAGGACGAACCGCCTCGTCCAGAGTCCTTTGAAGCGTACCCGGACGCTCTGGAAGTAGGCGCTGAAAGACGTGTAGACAATGGAAGGGCGGGAAGGGATCACAGCTGTCGAACAGCATTAGAATGACGATCTCCGCCAGGACTGGAGATGACGCACCGACACCGACGGGAACGCTGTCCTTGTCGACCTCGCCGCTTGCCTGTTCACCGTCCGTCTCCAACTGGGCCTTTCCGTACTCTTCGTCCACAGGGCTGAGCAGCTCACCGCCATCCCGAAGTTCAGGAATCGCTGGAGCGTTTATGTACTGCTGGCCAACGTTGCTCATGATTCGTCGTCAAGTCTTGTTTACGATAGAAGAGGTCGTGAATTGCGTCTTGAAGCGAAAACAAGGGCCAAGACACAAAGAGGTCCCCTGCTATATCCTGCCAGAGTGATCGTAGGAGGGTGAGAAACGGGGTGTAAGGTTTTCCACTGAAGATATATACCATTTTTATCTTCGGAACATCCGGTCAGGGTGCTCTTTCACTCCAACCATTTGATCAACCCTGAGCGCCACACGACTCATCATCGGCCGGAGCGCTATTCGGCTTCTGCAGGCTGAGCGTCTATTACCGACCAAAGCGGAAGCGTGTTACAGTATGTGGCTCTCTATGGAGCACTGAATTAGTCGACTTCATGGCGGCTCGCTGTCCCGACTATTCAGGACGACAGTGCCGGCACACAGTGCTGCCAATTTGGACGAATGCCGCTCTGATTCTCTTACGCCATCATCTGTCCGCAGGCCCATGCGGATCACCGGGCGGACGATCCGAACATCTCTAGTGCACCAATCGAATGCTGAGCAAGCACGCTGGCAAATGTCTGAGAAACATGTATACTGTATACACCGTATACAATAACTGCAGTACACGCTGCTGACGGGGGTATCACATATTGTACTCGATTTTCGCTAAGGCACAAGTCAGCACATGTAGATCATTCTCCAGCTGCAGAGGGAAACTTACTCTCGTGCTTCTTTGCCTCCCCAACCTTCCTCGCCGCCTTCATGAAGTCCTCCTGAGTCACATACTCCCTATCCTCTCTTAATGCGAACATCCCCGCCTCTGTGCACACATTTCTCAAATCGGCACCATTGAACCCATCGCTCAGCTTGACAACTGCATCGAAGTCAATCTCGCCACCCTTGTTCACGCCAGCAGCATGAATCTTCAAAATCTCGAGACGACCCTGTTCATTAGGCAGAGGGATCTCAATTTTGCGGTCGAGCCGACCTGGCCGGAGTAAAGCAGGGTCTAGTGTATCAGGACGGTTGGTGGCCATGATGAGCTTTGTTCGCCCCAGGGAGTCGAAACCGTCCATTTGATTGAGAAGCTATGAAATCATTTAGCAAAACATAACAACAATTCCGGCGAGAGGCACATACCTCCATTAGAGTTCTTTGAATTTCTCGATCCGCACTGGTGCCTTCGCTGAACCGCCTCCCTCCGATAGCATCGATCTCGTCCATGAAGATGATACACGGTTCATGTTCTCTTGCATAGCCGAACATCTCTCGCACCAACCGCGCAGACTCTCCAATGTACTTGTCAACAATGGCGGAAGAAACGACCTTCAAGAAGTTGGTGGACATCGTTGCTGCTACAGCACGTGCTAGCAAGGTCTTGCCCGTTCCCGGTGGCCCGTACAACAAGACACCTTTCGGAGGCTTGATGCCAACCCGCTGGAACAGTTCGGGGTTCATTAATGGCAGCTCAATTACCTTCAACATTATGTCAGATCTGTTCTCTGCACCAGGCTCCAAGAATACTCACCTCCCGCAGCTCCCGCACTTGCTCACTCAACCCTCCAATGCCTGCAAAGCTCGCTCCACCCGGGTCCTCCAAACTCATGTTGTACACCATGGGGTCAACTTCTCGTGGCAAAATGCGCATGATAGTAAGGGTTGTCATGTCGAGCGAAACACGGGTGCCAGGCTTGAGCTTGTGAATGGGAAGTGTGGGGCGGAACGAGACAACGTAACGAGGGCCGGAAGATGCTTTGACGATGACTGTGCAATACCGTCAATATATGCGAGTATGGTAGTTGATACTTTGCAAGCATACAGCGATCCGCATCAAGTTGCTTCAACACCTCGCCAATGATCTGGCCCACAGATTGTAATGCTTTGATATCATCCTCAGTCTTCTGGAAATCCTTCTCCAGATCCCGCAAGGAGAATCGTACTATGTCGCAGTCAGCATTGTGATAAACTTACAAAATAAGGCGGCTCACGATTCTTGAGGCCTTCACTCATGTTCTCATGCTCCTGCATTTTCTGGCCAATATCATCAGCATACACAAAGCAGTGCATACAACGGTGCATACAGCTCGATACGCCTTCAGCGAATCTATCTTTCGCTCGTCAAAGTGAGGAGGGGCAATTGCTATTCCGGACGCCATCGTTGACTAGAATCTGTGGGAATGACACGACGCTGTCAAGCTGAAGTTGTAGAGACGATAGAGGTCAGCGCACTCGCGTTCAGCAACTCAATACAGGGGACGCGTCAGTTCACCTTCCAGTGGCGTGAAGAAGCCGGAACCGAGACCGAATTAATAAGGTAATTCCTCCGATGACCCCTTTCGGGCGTATTTTGCCTATAATGACCCCTCGGGCGCAAATCCCTGAAATGACCCCAAGGCCTGCCCTAAGCAACCAGGGACCTTCCAATTAAAGAAGGTGGTGGTAGCAGTTCAAGATGCGCTAGGGTCCGGTCTCTTCGTGTCGGTTTATAAAGCATGTTCTGACAATTAATTCGCAAGCTTTGTTTTGTTTTTTCATTAGTTATGTTACAGTATATAAATTAATTCTGCATGGATGCCTCTAATAAGAATTCACCGAATTTCACCATCGTAAACATAGGTGAGGAAACACCGCACTTTTACGGCAAGGCAATGAATTTTGCAGCAGTTATTGAAAATAATAGATACCATACACAATGCCAACCAGCTTGTCTTTTAAAAAGGGTCTGTTCTAATAGCAAAACATTCACAAAAACGCGTTGTTGGATTGACCGGAGGCACGTGCTTTTATTGCCACAGCCACTGCTTTCCTTATTTGGTTACTTAGGGGCGGCATTTGGGGTCATTTAGGGAATTTGCGCCCGAGGGGTCAACATCGGAGGAATTACCTCCCGAAGTAATAAGTACAGCCACTCCATTTGCGCAGCCACTAGGAAGCGCCGTGTGGAGAAGAGCACGCGGAAGTTCACTCCGGCAGGACTCTTGCGACGTCACGACAGTTCAGATGCGTGCAAATGATTTACGCTTCTTCTTTTCGACTTTTCACCACCTGACGGGAAGCAGCCAGCCGCCCTTTCGCGAACTCGATTGGCACGCGCAAGGAGCAAGCGGTATATCGCAGGAGCAAGAAACCTGAACTTGACTAAACGATGGCTCCGAATCCCGCGATATCCCATCTACATCTGCCCGGTTTAGTGGGCTTCCCCGACGGGGGCGATGTTATGCTCCTGTCCGTGACGACGTTAACTTCCGGAAGTTCGTTGCCGTTCCGAGTCGTTCTACTGGCAGCTCCGCTCTGGAACGGTGTCCCATGTGCTTATCGCTCGCGTATCATCCAGTCATTGTGGAACGGTACTAACCTATCGCCAGCCTCTTAGGAGCTGACCAAATTGCTATCACGTCTTCATGACCGCTCCAGAAATAGCCAGGAACCCACCGCGTGGCAAGATCCTGTTATACGTTAGTGCGACTCGTGTGATACTTCTGGGGCATTTATATTGTGGCTGAGAGACGCTCCATTTGCGCCTCGGAGTTTTCGTTGCCCCTCTTTGCGACTCCTTCTGCCTCGTCCAGCATTTTCGGAGACCAATGGCGTTTGCGTCCCCCGCCAATATTGCCTTGGAAGGACATGATCCTAAAGCCCCCACACAGCTCACTCTTGCAGAGGAAGAGAAACAGTATTCGTCGGAGGCCGCGACTGAAGGTATGTGATGCAACCATGTTTCCGGTAAAGACGGCTGATTGACTGACTCAGTCATTTCGGCCGCGTTCCCCGTCTACCTGCGTCTCGCCGCTGAGCAGCGCGCTAAAGAAAAGGACCAAGGGTACAACCACGTCACGGATGCCGAGAAGAGCTCCACAGATGACGCGCGGTTTGCCGGACTGTCTGAGCACGAAAAGGAACTGCTCACCGCCAGGCGTGCGCTCCGCACTGCGAGCTGGGCAGCAGTCTTCTACCTCATTACGACCGACATCCTTGGCCCATACAACGCCGCCTATTCCATCTCCCAACTCGGCTACGTCCCAGGTGTGCTCCTTTATTTCTTCATGGGTGTGGTTGCCTGCTACACCGGTCTCATCCTTTGGTACCTTTTCTGCCGGCTTGATTCGGATCGTTTCCCAATCAAGACTTACTCCGACATAGCACAACGTATATTCGGCGGTTGGGCCCGACATATATGCACTGTTCTTCAATCGATCCAACTTATAATCAATGTCGGCACAATTTGCCTGTCCAACGGTCAATCACTCTCACAAATTGTTGTTGGTGGGGGCGCGCAACTCTGCTTCAGCGTTTGCATCGTGATCTGGGCCATCATCGGTATGCTCATTGGACAGATTCGGACACTGAAGAATTTCGGCTGGTTGGCTAATTCCGCCGTTTTCCTCAATCTCTCTGTCATTTTCATTTCCATGGGATTTGTCGCGCATTCGCCTCCCAACTACGTTGCAGCGGTAAACTCCTACGGTCCTATTGTAGCATCTGGCCCAGTTCAGACCGCAACGTTTGTCGACCAGACGCTGTACAACAAGGTCAACGGCGTCATGAACATGGTCTTCGCCTACGGAGGTGCCATGATATTCCCCGAGTTCATGGCCGAAATGCGCCGCCCGATGGACTTCTGGAAGGCCATGTGCTGCGCTCAGGCGCTCATCTTTTCCTGCTATATGCTCTACGGAGTGTTCGTCTACACTTTCCAGGGCCAGTACACGCTTGGGATCGCCTACCAAGGCGTGTCCCCGTACGCATGGCAGACCGTGAACAACGTCATTGGTCTGATATCCGGTATCATCGCTGCTGGTCTTTATGGCAACATAGGAATCAGTGGGTCACTTCTTCTTGTCTTTCCTGGTCAATTTCTCACGACGATACCGCAGAGGTTGCATACATTCACATCATTGAGGAATGGTTCCACGGCCCCTCTTTGTTATCCCGTAGAGGCTACTTCATCTGGGCGATCATGGTTTTCCTGTACTGGGCGCTCGCGTTCATCATCGGGTCTGCAATTCCGCAAGTGCAGACCATCTCCGGCCTCGTCGCCGCCACCTGCATCATGCAATTCACATACACATTCCCTCCGGCATTGCTTTGCGGGTATCATGTCCTGGTGGATGGGTACGGTTTCGAGAATAGTTGGGGTGAGGGAGGTGCCGCCGAATTCTCTTGGCGTCGGGCTTTTCTCGGCGGGAACTGGAAGCGCAAGCTGTTCAAGCTGTTCAACTTCTGCCTCTTCCTTGCTGCTGCGTCGTGTGCCTGTTTGGGTATGTATGGCTCAGGTACCGCCATCTATGCTATCTTCCAGGTCAGCAACGCGACGTCCTTTGGTTGTGGATCCCCGGTCGCATAGTGACGAGAAAGGACTAGTCACGATTAGTATAGGTTAATAGGACTGCTACCCATGATGTGTCATAGTAATGCAGACACCCAGGAAGATTATCACCCAATGACATTTGATGAAGAATCGGGAAGCAAGAGGAAGGCCGATGAAAGAACCCATGAGAGTCGACCCTTTATTTCACGCGACCAAAAGCAGGCGCGTCTCAGCCTTGCGCATTGGTCACGTACGGACGGCGGGAAAGGACAGGACCCTAGATCGCTCTCAGACCCATCCTTCCAGCGAGACCCAGCCTCCCAATTATTATTTTATTTTTAATTAGTAATCTGGTTTAAGCTCTGCTTTAATTTTATTTTTTGCATCCATGTGCTTGTTATCTGTCACTTAGGAACCAGAACTCCAACAAAGGTTTACCTCAACATAATATATCATCCACTTAGACATAATATCAACTTTTTGAACTGCCTTTTTACAATATCTACTGTATTTACATGGTAGCACATTTTTTGACCTTCTCATCTGCAAACATTTACATCTTCTTCAATATTTCCCCATTCTAATCCTATTGTCCCATAAATGCATGGGCAACAACATAAGCATATCAATTCAAGGCATCCAAAAAAATATGATCTAGTTCCCTACTTCTCCACACTGGCAGTCTTCTTGCTATGGAGATATGCCTTCAATCCCGGTCCCATCAATTTTGCTCCGGGCAATCTCTTCACCCCCTCACATTGTCCTGGTCCTTCCAACCGCCCCTTCCCTTTCTTCAAACCAGTCTTCCCCTTCCCCTTCCCTGGACCTCCTGCAGGATTCTTTTGGGTAGGAGTGCTCAAGCATTTAGCACTGCTAGACCCTCCTGGCTGCCTCAAGTCCACAGTCACCAGGTCGACCACCATGGCATCAGCATCTGGTGTCGCTCAATCAGGGTCATATTTGGTCTCCCCAGAGTTTGCCAGCAATAGGCTGCATGGTGCTTTGTCCTCTTTTGAAGGCTCTTCCTCAATCCAAGCAGTATCTTGAACAGGGGACTCAGGAGGTGGTGAAAGTGATGAAGCATCCCCATCATCTTCCTCCACCTCCTCAGCATCCGCAATCCACCTGATGTTACAAGTAGGCTGAGGCTGAAGGCAGGGCCATTTTTCATTGAAGTTGACTTCAATTTCAAGTACACACCATTTCTCATCCCAGGGGTTTGGATAAGCTGCCCAAACCCCATTCTGTCCATTCCGGAATTTCAGCATAACTTGCCCCTTCTTGCAGTCCTTCCTTGTGCAGCAGAACCATTGACCACGTTTAGCTTCCTTCCCTTTTTGAGCTCCCTTCCATTGCATGATCCAATGGCAGGTGGGACAGAATTGATTGAGCGGATTTCCATTCCAATTCTTCTGAGGAGCACCAGTTGTGATTGGCAAGGTTTTGTCTTCCCCAAACCAGTAGAGATCATAATTGTGCTCAATGCACAGTTCCTTGTCATAAGCATGCATGACAGCGTCCTTGAAGGTTCTGTGGTCAAGGAAGCAATGGCAGAGGAATGGGAGGAGGAAATGCTCAGTCAAATGGTGGGGTTTGAGTTTTGGCACTGTGAATGCAATGATATCATGCCAAAGGTGCCTGAGCCAAAGTCAGCCCATACAACTTGCAATTCCTCAAATTCCTTACCTGGCCTGCTTGATTTCCCCCCTCCCTTTGTCACCGCAGCTGTGCAGGCAAGCAACATGCAACATGTGCTCTTGCACTCCGAACAAGGCATCAGGTCCCAGAAGAGGAAGGCCATCAACTATTCCATTGATTAGTTCCATCCCATCAGTAGCTCTTCCCATACTTACATCCATCAGATTGCCCCATCCTCCATCCATACCAGGTAAGTGTAGCTGCAAGTTGCCTTCCTTGAATGCGTATCCACAATGCACAGAATGTGGAAGTCTTCTCCATGCCTAGTAATCCATCAATATATTTTTCATCTTCCAACAAAGACACTACTCTACCTTGCCTTCATGCCTGCCAGACAATTTGCAATGTCCTCCTTGAGGAACCGAGTTGTGTCCATGGAGACCACTGCTTTGGCTGGGCCATTTCCCACCTGCCACCTCGTTCCCAGGTAGGATAATTTGATGTTGACCCAGTTGAACATTTCCATCTGTTCACCATCAGTCAAACATCTCAATACCTATGTGGACACACCTTTCTATTGTTCAGGAACATCCCCCCTAGATGTGCTTTGGTGTTAGGGCAACACAGGCTGACTAAGTCTGC